TGTTGAAGCCTTTGGAAGCTTTACAACTGCTCATAAAGTCTCTGATTCCTTATTCCTTGTTTGGTTAAACATTTAAATAGTTAATATCTGCAGTGTATTCATGTGTGAGCATCATCTGCAGTGTTCTGAAGAAAACACAGCAAAAAGCCAGCAGTTCTGTGGCTCTGTGCATGCATGTGTGTATGCCTTCCAGCCAGGCCATGTGACTGCGCTCGGCGAGCACGCGTATGAGCGAGCAGCTGACGATGCAGCTGCACACTGCGCTCACCTTCCTCGGGGAGCTGGCTAGAGGAGAGGGATAACGTTGTCATGGTTACGCTTACTATGATGATGTCACAAGAGGAAAGCTTCCGGCACTCCGTCCTGTCGCGCATGCTGGAGTCTGATTGGCCAGCCAGCGGTGTCCTACACTAAAACGCCAAAGCTCTTGGAGCAGGACAGCGGCAGCGGCTCTCTCCCCTCTCTCATCCACGACTGCTCTGAGCTATTTTTACTCTCTGATTGTGACGAAACACGTAACAGGATTAGGCATTTTCCCCCCTTCTCTAGATTCTGTAGTGAGTGTTATAGTGGACAAGATTCAGTTTCATAACTGATCATAGGGAGCACTGTGAGAAACATTTAACAAGGCTGTAGAAACATACAAGTGCTCTACTCAACCCGGGTCTTTGTGTCTTTCTAATTTTGTGTGTGCTGTTCTAGTGGCGTTTAGTAACATTTAATAATATACATTATTAAGAAAAGTTTGGAAAAGAGACAACATGATGCCACTTTTTTTATTCCCAAACCGATACTAAAATCTTAAGTATCACACCAATACTGTTCTCTTTTAAGAACTACAGTCAAATGCAAACATTTGAACACCCTGGTTCAGATTCCGTTTAGTTGATGTAGTGAAAGTAAAGCTGATTGTTCACTTCATTGTTAGGATTAGAATTAGATGGATTCAAACAAACAAACATCAACAACTACCTTCCAGTTAATATCAGATAGAATAGCATTAGGCCAGTTACCTGGGCTATTTAAACTTAACAGTAGTCACCCAACAGAACAGATCCTGCCTCGTAAGAGGTACTTTCAGATATTAAATTTCAATTCTCCTCCTAATTAGCCCATCACTAGAATGTTATTTTTTATCAGTTTACAGTAATTCAGTTTTGAATTTTGAGAATTATGTCAAGAACTCTATTTTAGCAGGTAGCCTTGTTTCCTGCTCGCCAAAAAACAGAGGTCTATTACTAGCTTTTGTTGTTGTTATTGATGTTATTGTTGTAACTATGCAGGGTCGATTTAAAGAGGACTACTATTACCAAAGAAATTATTGTTACGGATTATTATTACTCAACAGACTTGTGAAAACTATAGACATTGCTGATTTATACTGGATTGAAATCACTGATGTCATCTGTAATCACTTACTGCGAAATTGTGCCCAAAGTTTTACATATGAATGTGTTAAGTTGTATTAATATGAGCTATTTTTAATTAAGGACTTGCTTAAGGTTGCTCAGACTCTCAGACTGCTCAAAGAAGTTGAAAATGTTCACAGTTTAGAGAGACCAGTAATGTAATTGTTCATCTTTGATGCTGATGTGTTCACACTGCAAATGTTATGTGGTCCATATGCATCCTAGAACACCTCTGAAGGTGTTTGGAGTGATCAGATCACAGTGTCTCTCTGAGACACACTGCATCCGGTCCATGCCTATGCTTAACGCTCTTTTGATTTGCTCAAACAGGATGCATGTTAACACCAGGTTCATTTCAATCTAGAAGTTTTCTGTTTTATCTCTGATTTTCGATCCAGTATTTTTTCTCCTGGTGTTGGCCCAATATTGTTACCATGTATCGGAATGGTGTCATCTGTACATTTAACCATTTATGGGTTATTATTTGATCATTTGTTGGTCATTTTTAGCTTTTCTGTCAGGGAGAATGGGCTGAATTAGAGAGCATTTGGCTGGCCGAAGGCAGAAATGGAGGGCTGCGTGTGAAAGCCGGCAGTGATGTTTTGCCCAGTGCAGGAGCTGAGCCAGGAGAACAGCACTGCCCCAGCCAGAGCAGCACATTAAAAAAAAAAACTGTAGCTCCTTAGGCTTCAAACGTGACCCCATAGATTTGCTGAGTGCAGTGGGCCGTGTTGGAAGAGTTGGAATGTAATGAATATCATGCTAGCTGGTCTCTGCTCTGGTTTTAATTTATTGAAGCTGTAAAATATACAGTTAATCAAGGGCCTGATAAGATACTGATTACCAGCTATTGATTACATTACCAGCCTGATACTGAAAGCTACAATGATGAACACTGACCTCATTTGATCGTTGTATAGTTTATATACCTTCAGCATCATGCCCCACCCTCACAGCACACAATTCCTGTAAGTAACCTCACATACAGTGCCACTGAAAGGTTTTGACACACCTGCTCTTAGAACGTCCATTATTTTTAGAACAATAGTTATAACCAGTATCATGGTTAGAGGAATACCGTAAAAAAAGGAGTCTGTTTCCTGATTTCTTACTGCTCTTCAGTCATTGCGTAGCTTTATTTAGTTTTATCATCAGCACACCCGATTTACTTTAATGAAGGGTTGAGTAGCCGAACTAGGTATTAAAATCACAATGTATTGTTTTTATTTATTTGTATTTATTTTAATACTAGTACTTGTCGAATAAATGCTTAGTGCACAGATAAATGGCTTTGTGATTTTTATATAAATGACTTCTGCATAGTACTGTATATGTATACACATGAAATTTCATTGTTTTATTTGTAAATACATTAAATACAATGAACATCAAATTCACTAATTCACTATTAATACTTATCTTCAAAACAAATTTCAAGCATTATTTAGGCATAAGACATTGGATCAAGAGGTCTAAGCTTTTGAAAAACATATGTTCAGTCTGGTGTGTCTGAACTTTTGACTGGTACTGTTAGCAACACCGTGCTGTTATTATAGTGATATTTTTGTACTGAATTGTTCCTGTACTGTAATGTTCCATTCGCTGCAGGTATGGTGAGTGATAATCCTGGATACTGAGAATTTGACCTATAAAGGGGAAAATCAGGATATGACCGTGTGCAGTGGTGCAGTGTGAACTGGGAATAGATCACCTGACCTTTCTCTAAGAACAGTGCATGTGTGTGTGTGTGTGTGTGTGTGTTTGCGTGGAATGACAAAATAGGATCCTAGCACTTCCAGGTGTTTTGGGAGCAGTACATAAAACAACACCACACACACACACACACACACACACACACACACACACACACACACAGTTATCTGGAGACCAATTTTAAGGGATTCATGCATTTAAGATGGATTTGAGGCAGCACACACTGTGTGAGTGTTTTGTTTTATGAGCTACAGTAATAAAGAATACATAAATAAATAATTCACATATGCAAGTCTGTGGCTGTAAAATCATTAGTAAAATCAATAAAATTGTTAATAACATTGGCACAAATCCTATTTGAACACAGCCCTAGTTAGTAGCAGTTTTTAGCATACGTATGTGTAAAAGTTCACAGCAGTTTCTAAAAAGAATAAAGTAGTTTTTTACAAATAGCATTGTTCCATCTTCGCCTGGGGGGGCGAGACAGATTGTCAAGAAAAAACTCGTAAAGATGAAGCTCTCATGTGACCTCAGTTTATTTTTGGAATAAAACACAGCAGGAACAAAAAATCCTGCCAACAATCTTGTCAGCTCTTTACAATGAATATAGGCTAGAGAAGCTGTACTGGACTTGAGCACAAGTCCTGGTAAAACAAAGCAGAGTCTGTGGAGTTCTGGCAGAGGAAGGTTTGAATGTGTGTTTCATTATCATTATCTGAGCGAAGTTCCACTCTTACCAAGCCTGGAAATGAATCCCATCTGTGCCTAAACACCAACTTCATGCTCATGTATTGTAGTTACGGATGCACTGATCCAACTTTTTCTTTCGAGATACCGATTTCGAACTCTGGCATGGGCCGATGCTGGGTACCACCAGTGGTCTGAGTTAGGGCTGCTGTGGTTTGTAGTAAGCAAGTACATAAACGTAGAGTAGAAGTATACCAGAGTGTACCATTGTTTTTGGGAAATTGGGAAACTGACCAGTGTCCAGTCCATTTAATGAAGTTAGTGTCAGTGCTGATGTATAGTATACATGATCAGTGATAGCTTCACTAATTGTGCTATTCACATAATATCAACCAAAAATACCAAGCAAATACAGTATAGTAATATAATTGAAATTAGTTAATCACATCACCTGTGATCTGGAGATATTCAGATAATAATGTGGTGTTTAAGATGTCAAGACTGATCAGTTAGTAATATGGTATGGAACACATCTTTTTTTTCCAGAATTCTTAAAATAGATTCAGTTTTGGAATGAGCTCTTCAGTTGTAATACCACAGTATATGAAGTATCCAAAATTAAATATAAAGGAAAAGTTATTGGGTTGTTACTTAGTTTTGGCCAGGATTGGATAGCTGATGCTGCCACATAGTCTTGTTTCTATACTTTTGCAGTAATGTTTGCTTGAATGGACATCCAACAAATGAATGTACTTCTGTGTGTGTGTGTGTGTGTGTGAGAAAGAGAAGGGCACTCCCTCTGTCATTTAACTGTGTTTACTCTTAACTGAGACCTTCCCTTTTGTACAAGATAAGACTGAATTTAGCAGTGCTTAGTCTGGCATGTCTTGCCACTTTTGTTAGATTTCTGCAGCTTTAGTAGGACATTAAGGATGCATACTAGTTTCACTGCATTAATCATGAAATTTTCAGTTCAGTTCAGGTTTGTCATTACGTGCTTACATACGTGTATGTATGTATGTATGCTTATGTGTATCTAAAGGAGCTCAGCTAGCTCTGATTAGTGTGTGTGATCAGTGCAGTGTGTGTATGTGTGTGTGTGTGTGTGTGTGTGTGTGTGTGTGTGTGTGTGTGTGTGTGTGCGTGCCGCAGCCCTCACTGCTGCAGTTAGAGCTGCAGGTATAGGACGTACGGCAGATGCAGTAGCGTAAAGGACAGTAGATATGGGCTGATTGTAACTAGAGGTTAGGGCGTGCATGTGTGTGTATGTGTGGGAGGTGTTGTGGGAGGTGGTGTGTGTGTGCGTGCGTGCATGTTGCAGTAGTACTGCGTAGTGCTGTCACAGTCAAAGACGGGGTAGCACACACACACACTCTCTCTTGCATACAGACACTTCATTCTGTACGGACCTGTTTTTTTGTATAGGGGATTTTCCAGGCTACATTTTGCCGTATGCTGAAGACAGGATATCGTATGTGCAGTTTCCGTCTGAGTTTATCTCCTCGCTGCATCTCTTTCCTGGGGACGTGTGTGTGGACTACCTGTCTGTCATTCTAATGAGGGATCTGCACTGCACTGGAGGAAAAACTGAAAAGAAAAACTGGAGCGTCCTGCGCTAAAGCTAAAACGAACCTTCTCCAGACTCTCTCTGAGGATGTATTGATAGGAGACTGAATGAATGGAGAGCGTACAGAAGTGTCAATAATTTCCCTCACCCAGTTGCACCATCCTGTGAGTAGACTAGTTGTCTTTATCTGTTCTTGTCTGAAGGGAGAAGGTGTGTGCAGTTTACTTTGCCTCTGAAAACCCATGGGGTTTTGTATGTTGTCCCCTTTTCAGTTGTAACACATTGTTTAAGCAACACTTGATCACATGACAAAGAAACACCTCCCTAGAGAGTATGTGCAGTGTGTGGCACTTGTATGCGGCCTCAGCTCTATGCGGAAATCTTTGTTTGGAGATGCTATTAGATTAGAAGCTGATGGATTTACAGAGTGCAGATCCACCCGGGATAAGCGACTAAAGCAAAAGTGTTTCTGGCCTTGTAGACTTCTGAGCATGGCTTTGAAGCATCTTAGCTGGTCGTGTTCCCTGCTGGCTTTATAAGGAATGCTGTGGTGCTTGAGTGTGTGTGGGACAGACAGCAGTAGTTTTGATCTACACTGGCTTGCTTCCTCATGACATTCTGTCTCTGCACTTTAGCGTCTAGCGTAGGAATGGACAATATGGCGAAAAGATTGTCACAATATTTCGCAATTTTTAATAAGTGTAAGAAGTTAGAATGGACATCAGAAGCACACCAGAAAAGCTATATTCAAAATATTGTATTAAAAGTATGTGTACCCTTTAATTTTTTTTTTATTATATGATGCTTTACATACTGTTCATCCATAAATCCATTTGAATAACTTTTACGCACACAACAGAGTGAAACCTTCAGTCCTATGACTAGGCGTTGTCCAAATTTTTTTTAATGAACCTTGTCAGTGTTCTTTGAGTCAACAATATTGATGACATCATGATACATTGGCCAACCCCCACTCTCAGGCTGAGGACAATGCCACAAAGGCAGCTGCTGGTGTGTATTTATATGCATTTTTTGAAGCCTTTTTTTCTTTCAAATTTGAAAATTCTTTGCAAACAGGAAAGGTCTTTCCTGCAGAGAATCCCAGCTTGTGGATGCATCCTGTTCCATGCAATCAGTAGCCCACAGACACAGTGGCGCAACTCTTGAGATGCTAACAGCTGTAAACCTCAGCACTAAACCAGTCAGATGTGCAGACACATACGTGTACATTTTTTCCTGAGGCCATTATCTGTGAACCTGCTTGCTTGTTGCTGTTTGTTTCTATAAAGTATTTGTAGCTGGTGAAGTCATCTTGCAAAAGACCAAAATTCAGTTTCAAGAGTCAAGGTTTATCAAGCTTCAGTATTAGAAGGACTTGGCCTGGCAGTTGGAGAACCCTTGATCTAGGTAACACAGTGAATGTTTGTTCCAGTGTAAGGATGTTGAATCATTTCCTGCTCACTGAAACAATGGAAAGGGTCAGTACTCAGTACTTTGTGCCTTTCAGTGAGAGCGAAACCTGCCACTGGCCAGTGGATCAAAGACTTCTGGGGCTTTTCAAGTTGAACAAAATAAGGTCTTGCTTCTGTAGACGTTCAGCTTCAGATTTTTGTAGTGTTGGTCTGTGGAGAAGTGTGTGGGTGTTACTGGCTAGCTGACATTAGCTTCATCAATAATTGATTAGCAGTGCAGGTAGAATAGCCGCATTCAACTGCCTTCTGTTCCTCTTGGTCCAGTCTGTCCCAGCTCCCGTTTACTCTTACACACTCACACACACTCATTTCTTTGGAACGGAACATTTCTCTGTGAGAAGCTAATACTTAGTAGCTAGCGCAGCTGAAACAGCTTAGTAGGAAGTCTGCTCTTTCTCTGTGTGTGTATGTGTGTGTGTGTGTGTGTGATGTGGATGCAGGAGCATGGGAGAGTGAGTTCCTCTTTATGAGGGTTTTATTTACACAGCTGAAGAACAGCAGCTCCCCCCTGACTCTTACAAGAATAAGAGTTATCTAGTTATCTACATCCCCTGAGTGATATTGGTAATGGAAAGTAATGGAAGTTGCTTGTTAGTGCAGCTAATACACATAAAATGCTAATGACCACCAGATATGCCTGCAAGTGGTGTAGTTCTCCAGAGAGCCCACCTGCTATCAAAACACAAGCAGTAAGCCATGCTGTTTTCCTCAGAAAGGCTATTTGGCTTAAAGTTTTTACCAATCATATTTATTTATCCAGTGAACTTTTAAAAAATAATCCTAATCATACTGAAATAAGTCATATCACAGTAATATTTGAGTGTTTATGATGCGTAGTATAGTTTCCTGAAGAATTTGAATTTAATCAAATTGTTGTTAGTTCCTTAATAGCCACCCATAATCAGAAAGCCTCTTAGTTTCACCTCAGTGTCAGCATTTTAGCCCACCTTACCCTGGCAGCACTGGAGCCTGCCTCTAACAGAGGGGTTCTTCAGAGGCAGATCAAGGCTCTGGCTCGGAGCAGGACTCCCCACGCCTGGCCTTTGTTCCCCAGCGTCGTGCTCTGCTCTTGGCTCAGGCTTTGGCCTGGGCCTGAATAAAAAAGTGAACATATAAATATACCCCGCTGTCCGTGTGGCCGCATAAAGAACCTTATTGTTCAGGACTACTTGCGGGGACTTATTAGATAATCGCTGCCTTTCCAGAGGCTTTGTAATTTCATTTATTTTGCATCGAAAAGCTAGACTTTATTTTTGATTTTTGTTCCCTCAAGGCGTTTGGGTTGGCTTCTGGAATTGGGGTGTGTGTGTGAGGGACCTGTGGACCTATAGGGATGCAATTACAGAGCAGATAAAGCTGCAAGTGTAGTATGTTGTAGATCCCACAGCTGGGGCGAACAATGATGGTTTGTGTGGAGTTGTTTGTCTGTCTGCTCCAAAGAACACACCCACACTACCAGCCTTGATGTTTTACTTTAGAGTCAGATCAGTAAAGCAGCTGGAAGTGTAACAGAGCAAGCTCAGTGTGGAAGTTTAGATTTATGATCTAGACCCTGTTTTCAGATCCCCACTGAAAAATTGCTGATATTAGGCTTTCATGTATTTGATATTTATCAATATTTTGCTACACAAAAAACATTCTGATTTCACTCTGCTATTTCTGTATATTGAATAAGTAAATGTAAACAGGCTGCAAAACTCTTGTGCTACTCAATATTTTAGCATTTTACCCAGGAGTGTCATCTCAAAAAGTCTATAGCCTGAATGTTCGTTCATTAATTCGTATGGATACTTGAATATCAAAATTAGTCAGAATACACATCCCTACTTATTATGGCTGAACTTTAGCACAAGGATAACACGTTACAACCTAAAAATTTGCAACAATCTGATGAAAAATAAGGAAAATAAGATATGCTTTTTAGCTCTTTTAAATTGGTTTTGGTGTCAGACAACTGTCTTATTGAAGCCGGTGAAATCATCAGACTCATCAGAGCTCATCAGAAATGTTCAGTTTCTGCCTGCTTTTTAGTAAGTAGGGGCAAAGTTCAAATAGACACAATAGGATTGTAATCTTTGATTGGTGCTGATTCTGCTGTCTGATTCTTCGTGAACGTGCCTCTTGATTAACAGTGACGCTATAAAACTGCACACCACTGCCGTCTCGGGCAAGTGTGTTTAATCAGGCCTCTACAGCGGCCTGATTAATTAAAGGATTATCTCATCATTGCAGCGGAGCTGCTTATCCGGGCTGAAGTAAACAATTTGTGGTGTGTCAGAGATTCTCTCCTGTCTTCCTGCTGGCTGCTTCCGCATCATGCTCTGTACACTTTCACGGACGCATACGCAGCACACTCTCTTGCTCTCACATGTGCACAGAAACTTTAACTAAGGACGGACATAGTTTTTCTGGAGTTTATTTAAGCAAACAAGCGTATACCTTTTGGGCCTCCACTAAATTAGAACTAAATTATATGGCAATTACATTTAAGTTAAAAGTATAAACACAGTCTTTTTGTTTGTGTTCTGTGACATCACAAACACAGGAAAAAAGGGCATAAGGACAAATGTGTGAGAGATATCAGCATAAAAGTGCCATATCTGAGGAAATCTAGTTTTCTAGTATACAGTGGTGGGGTTATTCATCTGAAATAAAAACGTAAGGACAGATGAAGCTTGGCAGAGTGCTTGTACAGCTGTAGCTAGCGAAAATCTTTTGCCAGCCATCGTTTGGCACGGTGAGTGGGGTAAGTAAGCCAACTAACTGCACAGATGATCTACAGATACAGCCATTACCATGGGGAGCAGAGGAAAGCGTCAGCTATCAAAACAAGCATTACTGTCAATATATGTACATGGATTTTGGTTGAATCTGAAGGGATTTATACATTAATGCAGCATTTACAATAAAGCACAGCACATGTTAAAGGTTGCTGGTAAAGCTCATGATGACTGTAGAAAGAACAGACTTTATTAGGGTGATGCATGTAAGGTAGCAACTATCGAGAATACCAGAGCTCTTTGTGTGGGTATCTGTTGTGGAAACATCTGGCCCCACCACTGGAATGGAAGATATGTGCTAGGTACGTGTTGAGATGACGTGTCTTTGCCTGTCATAAATCACTGCTTGAACAGTGCCAAGGGGTCGAGGATAGGCACAGGATGTACTGGCTAGAACTTTAGTTTGTTCTCATCTCATAAACTGTATCACTAAGCTGTGGCACAGTGGTATACCGTAGTGGTTTTTGAAGTGTAGGGTTGGAATTCTTTATTCTAGGACTATGAGTTGTTCCATTTGTATAACTACAGATGGCACAGTACCGCATTTTTCTTTTCCGATACTTATATTGAAACCTTGAGTATTGTCTGATACTTGTCCCGATCCTGTATTTTTTAAAAACAACCAGGCTTTAAGATGATTTTTAAAGACTTCACTTCTGATGAGCATCTAAAAGTAGACTATCATGTCAATCTATTCAAACACTCTACCACCCTACAAGAAGGAATACACAGCTAGCAACACACAGTGTGGGTGTAAGCAAGCAAGACTTGTTACAGGATTCAGATTCATCCTTTTTTCTCTCTGATATCCGATCCAGGTTTTTCTGCTGATATCGGCCTGAAACCAGATCAGCCTCACGTCTACGTATAACTTGTAAAATAAGGGAGTGATCTGCAGTTTCTGGTGCATCACCTGCAGAAAATATAGGCTAGTGTAGACTGAGTGAAATTGAGTGTCCCTAGATTACAGAACACGACAGATTGGCCACTTAGTGCAGTGCAGGTGATGCAGTTAGTAGGCTTACTTGGTAATTTATAGCCATGTGGCAAAATATATCAGTATACTTGAAGACATTTTCATGATACACAGTATTTCGTTTTTCTGAGGTTTGATACATTGGTGCTCCGTCTAAACCTCTTTTTAATGAAACGTGGTTGGTTATATCCTGGAAGAATGATACCCACAATATGCTCAGGCATATCATGACGTAATGTCAGACATCATATGCCTACCCTACTCTACAAGCACCATATAATATATACTACCTACATTAAAAAGAATGGATGAGGGAGGGAAAGACAGAGGTAATGAAGTCATGCAGTGCTACTGGATTGGATGATTGATTGGGCGTATGGTGTTACCTGACAATAACTTGTTCTTCCATCAAAGCACAAACTCCTCTGTCTGATAGGGCTTTCTCAGGCTTGCCTCACAGCCTCCGTCTCAGTCATGTGACCTCAGTATGGGGAATTTTTCTCATGGTGGGGGCCTCACTGTCTGCTCGTGCTGTCCAGCGAGCGGCCACCCTCCAACCTTTCCAGCACAGGAAAGGAATGCAGAGGGGAGGGCAGCGGATGGTTTTAACTGGGTCAGAGCCTCTTTTCACAATGGAGTTGGGCTGTGAGAGTGGTGGAGGAGAAGAGAGGTGCATTATGGGAACGGAGTGAGGGAGAGAAGAAGGTTTTCTGGGCTGAAGGCACCCCCTTTTGCTGGTTATTCTGGTTGAATGATCTCCCAGTTGACTGCTCGTCATAATCAGGTCAGGGTTAACTGTAGGTTGATCGTAGGGACACGTAGAGTTCAGGGGGTTGGGTGAGTCCCTCCCAGACGAGAGCGACAGAGCAACTTTATAGGGGTGCACATTAGAGCTGCACAGTATACCATTTGTTAATTGCTGTAACTGGTGTGGCAGTGATATTGCAGTAAACTCACTATGGAAATGAACCTCTAATGTATTATTGTGTGCTGTGTAGAGAACGACTGATCAGTGTATTTGGGGGCCGATAGCCTTTTAGCATGGTCATAAGAAACTTTTTGCAAACGTACAGACAAGTGCCATGAAATGCGTTAGAGCGATCAACAACACAGCAAGTTACGTAACTAACATGAGCTAGGTGGTGGCTTAGCAAACTGTCGCTACAGTTACTACTGCAAGACTAACCAGTTGCTACCACAAACATTAGCAAACAGGAAAAATCAATAATGTCTTGTTGACGCTACGAAACAGCAAAAATAAGCTATTGTTACCCACCGGTCAAGCAGAAACAGAGCAATCTCCTCATCCCTTTTCATGCCTTTCAACTCTCAAAGAAGCTGAAGTCAGATGTACTGGGAATGCTAAAAGGGCTGACATACGATCAGCTTTTTAGTCCTGTGTCTTGTGTTTATTTTTTAGCCCATGCCAAAGCTGTAGGTCAAAAAGCTAATGTGGTGTAAGCTAAGCTAGGGTTAGTGCTCGGATGCTAACATGCTAACAGAAATGAATCTTCAAAGCTTCAAAGACGAGGCTGAAGGCTCCCTGTTTGCCAACTTCCTATTCCAGCTTTCCCATTTCACGTTAGATAGTACAACAGTTATATTCTGGCACCTAAGGTGAAATGTGGCTCATATGTTTTACATATTACATATATTTTTGAACACAACTACGCGCAAAATCCCGACTGCGTAGCTCCAAGCGTCTGCGTTCGCGTCCTTGCGTGAAGTATGTTTCCGGTCTAAGAGTTCCTCTTCTCATAGAGGAAATGTAGATCGGTTCTTTGAGTTCTCCTTCTAGTTCCAGTTATCTCTGCCCATAATCTCTGCTGTAATAGCCTAATAACAAAGGCATCTTTTAATTTGATATTAATTATTTCTCACTCATGGCTCATTGAAACAAACGGAGAAAGTCTGTCAAAAGTTCAACCGCTTTTGTGCTTGTAAGCACTGAACAACCAATATGTAGATCAGCCCACAATACTATCTGGAGCACTGGCTGTATGAGAGTGTATCCTATTTGCTGTAATAACCTAATGTAAACTGGCAGCAGGAGGTTAGTGCTGCAGGGATGCATCGCTTTCTGTCCACAGCCCCTCTCTCATCACTACACACCAGAAGGAATCTGAATGCAGCCTGTGCATTTGTGGGCAACATGCGTGTAATATGTTTGCATTCAGGACAGAGGGGTGCTGTTTATGAAGAGTGCACTGCGATTTCAGGCTTGATTCGGTCGCTGCTGGACGAGACAGAGCATTTGTTAGCTTTGCGAAAGGGGTCAGACATTGGACCGTAGTTTGGCACACTGTAGAACGCATGCAAGACCATGCTCCATTAAGTGGACAAAGGGTTTAGGGTATGGACCATTGCAGTGCATTTTGGCTGACTGCTGCTTTCATCTATTCATTTCTTCATTTGTTAATTTGTGTGTTTATCCATGTATAAATTATTTGTTTGTTCATTAGCTTTATGTATATAGGAAGTTGATCACAGACGTGACCCTCAGGTGCAGTGTGACTGGGCTTGCTGTCTTGCTCTCTCTCTATGTGTATGTGTTTGCAAAGGAATAAGTAAATATTATATTGAATATTGTTATGATTAACTCCAAAACATACAACATAACCACTCTAAGAAGCTATCTGCTATATTCCTGCTTTAAAACATCTAACAATATTATTTTAAAATGCCGGCCTTATTGCAGCGTCTAACGAGATATTTATGCAGTATGATAATCAGTGGACACACAGTCTCTCTCGCGCACACACACAAGATTGCGCTTCAGCACTTTGGGTGGTTTTAAAAACTGTACTTCACTTTTCTAGCACACACACCATCTCTCCTATTTGTTTTCACGGCCCGGTGGCTAAAGGCAGTTTGTTTTGCTGCAAAGGGCCGAGGCTCAGTTACACTTCTGACTTAGTCTTTCCACATGTGCACTCATTCTTTCTGTCTCTCTTACTCTGTCTGACCCTGTGTTCTCGCTGTCTTGCAGAGTGCAGCGATGGAGGAAACAGTTATATGGGAGCAGCACACGGTGACACTTCACAGGGTGAGTGTTGAGCATTGTCTCTTTCTTTTTTTTTTCTCCGCTCATTCTTTTCCCTTGTCTCAATCTTTCCTGCCAAACCTTCTGCTTTATTTCTCTTCCAGCCACTTCTTCTCTCACTCTTTCTCCCTCATTGTCTTACTTTCTCATTCCCTTGCTTTCTCCCCTTTTCTCCCTTTCTATTATTGCCAGCTGCAGGAAGTGTGGGGATATGCTCACAAAAGAACTCCTGTCCACATGGCAGGAAGTGTGTGTATGTGTGTGGAAGAAATGGCTGCTCAGCACCTCTTCCTCTTCTTCCTCTTCTTCCTCTTCCTGTATGTCGCTGTGTGGAGAGCGAGAGATGCAAATATGCTATCTATTGTTTGTTCATCATATAACTTTTCATTACATTTCTGTGCTAGGAGGATACCTGCTACCTCAAGCGTAGCAGCTCATTTATCATGAAGATTAGTCAGAAACCCTATTTACTGATGTTGTACCAGGACTAAACCATGTGTGCAGTATATTTGCTGACATTATTTATAAAGCAGAACCCTAGCCAACAGTATCGTTACTGCAGGTTTATGAGGTATCTTCAAGACATTCTTGCAATAAAGATCAGGTTCTGTAGAGATAACTTACTTTTCAATTATTTAACCACTACCTAAGTCTTGATACAGTAAAAGTCTTGAAGGAGCTCTGGCATATGGTTCAGTGCTTGATAAGAGACCACACTTTTTCTTGTAATGCAGCTGTCTAGACTGTTGCAGATTTGCTGGTAGACAGCTAATTAACAAAGGGGCTATGGAGCTTGAGGAGAAGTCGACTACATCTCTGAGCAATGTTTGATGTCTGAAGTTTGCTTCTTTAGTTTCACTTTGGAGCTGCAAAGATAATGTAGTGGATGCTTGTATCATACCAGTTAGCGTCATGCACTGTATGACATACTGTTGACAAAAGTGTCAACAGTTTGTCAAACAGTACGACTGATCAAGTATAGTTGGAGTAGGGGGAAAATTATGTAATTTTTGTCATTTGATTTGGTTTCATTTAAAGAGAGTAAGTAACCAAACCTGTACACCTTTTAAGTTGTCGTCATTCTGTAGTTGGTGTCATGCACATGTTAGAAACTCCTAGTCTAAGCTGGATTTCTCTGTGGCAAAAATGAATGGGCTTTTCGAAAATCATCACTGTCACGCCCTGTGGTTAACAAAATGGTTCTAAACGTGATACAGTTTATTCTGTTTTTTCACTGCTTGTCATTGGATCTTCTGAATTGCAAAGTCGTTAAGAGCTGAAATATGAATTTTTGCTACATGAGAGCTAACACTGCTTGGCACTGAATTGACATCAGAAGACTGGCAAGTAAACAAAAATAACCCCAAACACACCGTCATGCTTTGTCGATTATGTTAGTGAAGTTGCTTTGGCAGTAGTAGAGTTCATTAGGAGTAGCTGGTGTTATATAATAGTGCTGAAGTTTAATAGTAAACTTGTGGCCACTTGCTATTAGCACAGATGTAGCAATGTTCATAATTTGACTTCATGATTTAGAGGATCTGGTGGCATTCAGTGGAAAAATATATGTAGACAAGACGTAACAGGTTTTTGTGTACCACAGGGTCCGATAGTGGTGACTTTCAAAAATCTTATTAATTTTTGCTAAAAGAAGTTCAGCTCAGACCTGGAGTTGCTAATTATTATTGTTGCTGTTATTACTCTTGGCAAGAGCAGCATCTACACTACTACAGTATTGATTTTTAGCTGTCTGTATTCTGGGTATATACGGAAATGAAAATAATAATTGCTAATAATTGATCATTCCTGTAATTGATATTTCATTGTGTCGATCTGGTGTCTCTTATTTACTGTCTTTTGTGGAACTACTGTCAGTAATCAAAACTATACATTGGTGCTTTTATCGGTCCAAACCTGAATGCAGCCCAGAAACTTGCTTTCTAAGCCCAACCCAATCCAGAGTACTACGATTTAAATACAAACATGACCCAAGCCCAGCTCTGTTTAGTCTGAGCCTTACCCAACCCGAACCACAGTATCAAATTTTGTGTCTGATTCAAATACAAGGAAATTCTGTCCAAAGACCTAACAAGAAGGGGGAATTGGACATGACCAAATTGAGAAGAAAATTGAAAAAATTGCCAAAAAAGGAACATATTGCATGCAATATATTTTACATAAAAAATATAAAATGGAACAAAGAAATTGGATAAAAACATTTAATATAAACGTCATTTTAGCTGCACTAAACCTGGATCGAGTCTCTGTTATGCATCGATCTTCTCAGAGCCATGGGCCACATGGAAAAGAGTGGGTGACTCCAGCATGCCAGATTAAAAATTGTTTTCAGGTAATGAACATATAAGGAAAGAGGGAAGTAAAGAAGAGATGCTAAAGGCTGGGAAATGCAGGCTAAAATCTGAATCCGACACTTCAAATCGAAAATTATGTTCGAACTTCTTGTGATCTGCCGGATCCCATTTGTATCTCAGTGTATTTTTTTTAATAAGTGTAACCTCAAAAAGTAAATCGAATCTTGACCTCAGAATCAAAATCATATTGAGCCTGATTGTTATTGAGCGTGTATTGTTGCAGCCCTTATTTAGACATCTGTCAGCAGAATTGTATGATCAGCATTGTTGTGCATGATCCCTGGGAAATGTGTATTTAGGATAGAGGCACACAGTAGCACTGTGAATCGGTCACGCATGCACTCTCTCGCAGTCACCTCCATGCTCTTTCTCTGACCCTGTGCTTGTAATGGTGTTAGTCACAGAATTACTCAGCCTTGTCAGACTGCGACATTGTTAATCAGTGCCAGGAGCTCACTGTACTGTTTATGTGTCCAAGCTGTGGTGAAGTGATCCTGTAACAGACTAAAAGGCTGAGGTAGTTCTGTAGTCAGAGTAGTAAATAGTAATTCTCACAGGGAAGGACTTGCCCAGTAGAAAAATTATCGCATTCTTACCAGTATGTCATAATTACATGAAATAGGACATTGTGTGATGCAAATTTCCTCAAGTCATATCCAAACAGCTGCATTAAAAGAAGTCTCAGTGTCTGTACAATTCTCCTGTCATTGGTATGTGCATCTGGTCTCAATGCATGATTAGTCGTGCACTCTGGAAGACTGTGTCACTGTTGGAAATGCATATATTTGTGTTCAAGTAGGCCGAGCCATATAACAATATTGTATGGTTAATGTGATACATTTCGTTACGTTGTGCCGTTCTGAGCATATTGTGTATAACATCCATACTAGAGATGTTAATCTTGGCATATTCTTTTGTTATAGATATTCTGATAACCAACTGTTATTAGTGAGTGATTATTCGACAAACCTAAAATCGTGGACACAACCCATGAAAGCATCAAACGCAGCACTAAATTTTTATGAAAGCAAGGCTTTAGGCAATATAGAATGGAAAATGCATCCTGATGTAACAGAGAAAACAGTAACCTAATGTACTCTTCCTACTTACACTTATCATTTAAAATTATTAGCCCACGTTATGCTAAGTATCCTGGTTGTGATAGTGCTGTAAATTACGGTTAGGATGGTTTAATCTCTTCTGTATCCCTTTATCAATGGCTTTGCCCAGAGTTCTGCATCACTAAGTAGGGCTACCGGATGTTCTGCTCTTGTGCCCTCGTACACGCAGTTCAACATCGGTCCTAAAATTGATTGAAAAACCCACTTATTCAAATAACATTTGTTTATTTTCAATTAAATTAACGTTTTAACTGAAAGCATTGGTCAAACAGTTATGTATTTGTTGGTTAACTTGATTCTTTTCTATAAATTAAGGTCCAGGCCTGTTTTTTTTTTACCAATAAGGCTTCAGGCTTGAGTGCTGAATGTAGTGTGCCAGATAGCCTGTTAGTTGTGGTTGTGTTGTCACGTACACATCATGTGGGCGTGTAGTTGCTTGTGATTGGTCTAACACATCTACAGGCAGTTCAGATGCTCTGTGTTTTAGTTTAAAAATTCCCCACTTAAAACTTGTAGGCTACAGATGAAATTGCAGCTCCTACAATTTACAAATTGCAATTTCAATATAAAAACAAAATTAATCTTTAAGCTGTAGTCATTCATAGTATTTTTAATGTGACACTACTGGAGCTTTTTTTTATCTGTAAAAAACTTGTCAGACTTAAAAATTAAATATTCTGATGTGTATTGTGAAAATGTCTTCAGGAGTGTTATATTTTTGCCATATTACTCACCCCATTTGTGAGTACATATCATGTGTACACTCAAAACTAACACTTAAAAGCTTCAAATTACAGTTCAGAAGTAATGCATATATTTTGTTCCTGGTCTGTGCAGGCACCAGGCTTTGGGTTTGGGATCGCAATCTCAGGAGGCCGAGATAACCCTCATTTCCAGAGTGGAGAGACGTCCATCGTCATCTCAGACGTTCTGAAAGGAGGACCAGCGGAGGGGCTTCTACAGTAAGTTATTCCACAGTCCCCTTACACTAGCATGCAGAGAATTATTCTTTGTCATTTTAATTTAATATGATTAATTGTTCAACCCAACAGAGAGAATGACAGAGTGGTTATGGTTAATGCTGTCTCCATGGATAATGTGGAACATGCCTACGCTGTTCAGCAGCTGAGGAAGAGTGGCAAGAATGCCAAAATTGTAAGTTATTTAAAAAATAAATAAATACTAGCATAATGACTGTTGTGCAGTATTCGCCTTGTGTCGAGCTTCAAAGGAATGCAGGGAGTGGGGAGTGTGGGAGAGGTCTATAGCAGAAGAGTGATTATGATATAAATGTCTGGAAGGCCATTTTAGGGCAGCAGTTTCACTTGCAGTCACTGGTGGAAATCTTACAGAAATTCAAAATCTGCTTTTTGGTGGAACACTTATTTATTAGTTATACATAAGAAACATATGTGTAATAGATGAATGACTTAATAAAAGTGATTAAATAGTTATTGACTTAGTGATCTCTGTACCAGACAATACGCCGGAAGCGAAAGGTTCAGATCCCGGTGGCTCGGCTGGGCGACAGAGAGACGATGTCAGAGCGCGAGGAGGACAGCGAGGATGATGATTATGAGGGCCCAGGGGCAGGAGCTGGGGGTGCCAGTGGGGGCTCAAGCAGACGGAATGATCGAAGCGGCAGCGGGGGCCGGAGGGACCACAGCGCCTCGAGAGAAAGGAGCACTTCTCCACGGTCTGACAGACGCTCCGTTGCCTCAAACATCCCACCACGGCCTGCCAAAGTCACACTTGTAAAGTCCCGTAAGAATGAAGGTGAGAAGGAGAAAGACTGTACAGGAGATAAACAACTTCAGAGTGAGAGGGGTTTGTGAGTCATTACTGGAGTTACACAATTTTCCCAAAATATGGGGCTAATGTCTCAAACAAGCACTTACCTCAAACCAAGGCCAAAGATTGTAAGTAAGCACTTTGCTTGATGCTGATTGGTTGAGTGTAAACTTCCATTACCTGTTAGCTAAGAGTAGAATTTTGTGAATGTGATGTTTTGCTTTTTTCCCCTGTTCATTTACAGGTACATATGTAAAGGTATGTAGCATAGACCCTGTTTACATTTGGTAATTTCATGTGACTAGTATCTGGATTGTAACCTGATAAAATTTTAGGCACATGCATTTACACTTGGTAGTCAAACACCTCTCCTGCTAAATTGAAGTCCAGCTGCTATGTGGCAGGTAATATGCAAATCAGCACACGTTTTTTCTGTTCTGTTAAAAAGAAATCACAATTTTACACAGCTCTGTTTATTTCCAACAGAAAATTAGCCTTGTGAGCCTGTCACTGCTGTAATGAACTACATGCGTTAAACCGCAGTGTAGCGAGTGCTAAACAACAAGGCGAAGTAAAGATTAAACAAACTGGCACTTTATGTAAGCTGACCAGCTCAACCAAAGGGCGGCAAAATAGGTTACTGAGTTAAACAGGTAGAAGACACTCATATCAAGAGATGAACTAGGGAGCAGCAATGCCTCTGTTAATGGCAGCTGTCCAGAGAGAGGTCTCTTTTTCATAAGCAAAAATAGCTGGAGGAGGCACCGTCATTGTATTAAGAGGATTTTTAGGTTGTTCACTTATAACATCTGGCTAAAAAAGCATCTCAGACCTCCTGAAGTGGTTTGAGCGGTCAGATTTAAATCTGTTTTAAACGTGTCTTGGGAGCATTTACACCTGCATTTTTATATAGACCACAGGTCAACAATCTTATACACAAAGGGCAAATATGGTAGCAGGTTTTTATTCTAATCAAGCAGAAGTGCACCTCATTCCACTTGTTTAATCAGTTGGTCTTCTTCAAAACACTTGATTAGTTATATGAGGTGAGCTCCTGCTTGGTTAGCATGAAAACCTGCAGCCACACCAGCTCTTTGCTAATAAGATTTGTGACCCCTGATATAGACCATCTCTAGTCTCTATCCGGATGTACTACTGGTACTCGTGGAGCCTGAAGCGACCAGGTCATAGGTATGATAAGCTGGCTTGCATGCCAAGCGAGTTTCTATTTGTTAGCTGTATCAGCAGCCTATCTTTCTACTTGATTCCTTAAAAGGAGTCACCACAGGCCATGTCACATGACACTGAAGAGTTACTGTACAAATATAGAGCAAACTAGTCAATCTACTTTGAGTACTCATGTTGTCAGAAAGGTGTTTATGAAACCAGCTCAACAAGTGGAACACGTGTCAGAGCGTAGTATGGAGAATAGCAATGACTGGAATGTTTTGCTTTCTTTCTGCTATCTTCTAGTAGGAGGCTGCATGCTCTCCGTAAGAATAAAACTACGGTTAGTTTATGCACTGTGGTTTATGCTTAATTCAAAAGTCACAAAGCCTAGACTGATGCACTTTGTTGGTTTTCCTGTGTTCTGTGTGCAGAATATGGTCTGCGCCTGGCCAGCCACATCTTTGTGAAGGACATTTCCCCAGAAAGCCTGGCAGCCCGTGATGGAAACATACAGGAGGGAGACGTAGTGCTGAAGGTATGATGAGAGAAAGAGAAGGAGGGTGAGAGAGAGATGGGAGGAGTGTAGGGGGTGAGACAGCGCATGTGAATGGTTGAAAGTGGGAGAAGTAATGCTTAAGGAATGAAAGGAGGATGAGGGAGGAAATATACACTTATTCTGTACAGACTCTGCTGGATTGCCTAAGGTATAGAGAGTTAAAGAAGGGAGACAACAGGAGAGAATTGGGCTTAAAAATGATTTCAAAACACTGCATCAGCTTGGAGTCATACAGAAAGAATCTGAAGATATGATAGGTGTTTCATAGGCCAATGGAAAGTGATGGTGTTTGGGGGGAAAAAAAAGAGAAAATTGCTTAGACCCTTATTTCATTTCTCTAGTTAGTAATTTGTCTTGGATCAGTGGAGAAACACCTTCTTTCCTTCTCTTTTTCAGTGTAGAAGTACCTCCTTGCACGCATTGCCCCTTCCAGGGAGTTTCCCCTCTAGACTCTCTCTTTACAATAAGTAGCTTAATGGGAGAAATTATATCACTTTGTCAGTGGAATTTATGGGCCCTGTTCAGCTAATGTGGCCTAATGCTGCTCAAGAGAAGAAGCAGGCTTCTCTTTGAATGCGGCCCCAGAGCAAAGCCGCGTGGTAATCAACATGGCAAAAGTGCTATCTTGGGGTTTCAGACTGCTGGTGTACATTTTTCTAAAGGAATTGCTGATTTTATTATTGGCTTTTTTCTGTTTATACTATATATATATAAATATATATGTATATGTGTGTATATATATAAAGCGACCTTGGGATTGTGAAAGGCGCTATATAAATGTAACTGATTTTAATATATGGTTGCTTTTTACGTCTGATGGAGTTAAAAGTGCAGTGGAGTATGCACTAAGGATAGCACTCATTTTTAATTTCATTATGCTGCTCGTATATAGCAGCCTCTTCAAACATGGCATCACTAGCTCTTTGATGTGCAGCTCTGATAGTCAAGCTTCACACAAGTCTGAAGCGATGCCATAAAATGGCGGCTCATGGCCGGGACTGATTTGAAAGTGCTGTGATTTATGCCGTCTCTCTTCTCTTACCCTTTCCATCCACCTAGATCAATGGCACAGTGACAGAGAACCTGTCTCTGATAGATGCTAAGAAACTGATTGAGCGCTCGAAAGGCAAGCTGAAAATGGTGGTACAGCGAGACGAGAGAGCGACGCTCCTCAACATTCCTGATATAGACGACAGCATTCCCTCTGGCAACTCTGATAGAGATGGTGAGGCTTCTTGGATTTCTTTTGAAAAACCTATCTAAAGGCTTGAGGTTATTGAGCCTTAAAGCAAAACATGAAGTGGACAGTTTTAGTTTCCACAATGCACAAATTCAGAAGAATCACAAACCACAAATAAAGCACAAGCAGTACAGAGACCACGTCGGTTCGGAGTCTGTTTAGAGCGGTGTGAATTTGTTTGATCTGTTTATATATGCACTGAAAACTGTGGTTCAGCATACTGAGACCCCTTGAAACGCTGGAACGATCCAAATGTGAAAACGCCCTTATAGTCGTGGTGTAATTAGTGTAAATACAGTAGATCTAAGTTCTTAGAAGTGTTATGTTCTTAGACCACTTCAGTTTGATGGGCAGTCATCACTTTTACAAACTCACTGGTCTAAATGTCTAGTCTTGAGAGCTTGCAGGTAGCAGTGCTGCTTGATATGTGGTGCATTAGAACAGCACTGTTACTATACTATACTGACTTTTTATATTTTAAGAAGCCCATATCTTGGAAAACTGCTCTTTCTTCAGTTGTTTGAAATAAAAGAGTTTGGTACATTTTGACAACGTTAACAGCATTTTCTACTACATCAGTCACTCCACAGTTCATACAGTCTATATATGAAAAGTAAGTTGCAAAACCAGCCCATTTTAAATTTGCTGTTTTTCTGATGTTGTGGAAAACAGCCCATTTACATATATCATATACATATATCCAGCTATTGTATTATATCCAGTGTATTGCTGTTTAGCTACACACACTCATGCTGAAGTTATGATGAATGTTTCAGCTTAGACAGCTTTCTGAACAAGGCACAATATAGGGCAGCAAATTAGATGAGAAGTTATTTACATTTCAGTCTCAAAGGCTTTATTCACACAGCAAGTAAAAGTTGACCAGATATTTTTCTTCATATATGATGTGTTGTCCGTGTGGCAGCGTCAACAGCGAAAAACACATTGAATCTGACATTTTCAGTTCCGATTTGGACATTTTCATATGTGGTACTGAAATCTGAGACGTATCTGATATATGGCATACAGCCATCGGAACTTCTTATTAGCTCCTGTGATATTTCTGAAGATAAAGCCTCTGAGACCGGCTGTTACTGTTGACTTTTGCATATGCGAGTCAGTTTATGAGCGTGACTTGTGCAAACTAATGCCGCATATAGGTCACATTCAAAAGATATTGTGAACAGCCTAAGAAAAAAATCAGGTTTGGTGAGAAAATTAGATTGGGCCACTTTTACTTGCTGTATGAACATAGCTAAAGATACAGTAACAAAAAACAGCCTGTGTAATTCAAAGGAGTAAAGAGACGCTGGGAAATAATCATGTGGAAAAGAATTGCCTCTGATTTTGGACATAAAATGTAAGAAAATTAAGGATATGGGGCTTTATATGATATGGTTTAAAAAATATTGTCTTTTTACAGACATTTCAGAGATTCATTCACTGACATCAGACCATTCTCATGACCGAACACGCGGCAGTCGCTCTCGCTCGCCAGACAAGCGCTCCGAGCCATCGGATATCTCCGGCCAGTCGCCCCAACAAATCAGCAATGGAAGGTAAGAATCATGTGAAAAACAAACAAACAAATAAATCCACCGAGACCACTGCTCTGAATACTTGGAACAAATCAACCTATCATACTTTAATTAAATTTACATGCTGACTAATCCATTTAAAATATAAAAGAAGCTAACAGAAAATAGTGCCTATAAAATATGTTTAACTATTACTTTTATTCTTCATTTCCATTAGGTTTGTTAGTATTCATTTAACATTATTTATTGTCTCCTTAAATCAGCAACCTGGTTCTATTTATAAATCTCAAGTTCTCTGTTTCCAACTTAATTCATTTGCATCACCCTTCATCCTCGTTCTAGTATATTTGATGAAGCTGTGCGTCAGATGTTTCAGTGCAGATGAGATCTTGCCTGTGGGTGGGTCTGTCACTGAGAGTTGAGATTTGTAGCTGTTGGTGTTAGCAGAGCAGTAGCATTGCTTGCACTAGTAGAGTGAAAGCTCAAACGTCAGTCAGTTTGGCATTGATCTTCTCATTGGCAGATGAACTTTCTAACTGGTTTCCAGCCCTGAGCATTGTCACTATTCTAACACATAGCCTTTCTATGCATCTCAATGTGGGGTCATCAGTTATATGAGCATATTAGACACACATGCACGTGTAATAATAATATTGTGTAATAATATATCTAATATTGCAGAGATTACTGATTTTTTTTTCCTATAATTAATAGTAACAGCCCTACATCCTACTTCATAATGTTTCAGGGGAAGCAGCTTGATAGAATGTGCAGTTTTAAGAGAGTTAAAACAATAAAATTTGACTTCAGCTGATGAATCATTATCATGATTCTGATGCTGGGTAGAGACAGTATGATGTGTGTTGGTGCTAGTGACCAGTGAAAAAGCAGAAGTGAGCTGGTTTCTGATCACATGGGCAAATCAGCACAGTTACCTCAGATATGGAGTGATAGAACAGATAGAGATGTGTTTTTGAGGAAAGAAGAAGCCCTGAAGTCAGAGAGGAAAGATAAGCTGTGTTTGTGTATGTGTGAGAGAGTGAGAGACCGTTACAGTGATAGAGAGACAGATTAGCAGTACTCTAGTACTCTGTCTCTCTAGATAGTAGAGTAAAGGATGCCAGATGCCAGCACTGTCACTGAACTGTTATCATCCCTCCATCCATTAACCCTGTCACCCTGTCCTAATAAAGCTGCTGCTACAGGGTGTGTTTTAATGAGATTCGACACTCCACGTATCTTTACACTTAGAGCTGGGTAGCTGGTCCTACAGACCTTATCAGACTGGGGCCATTGTCGCCAGAACCAACCACACCCAATTAACTGGAAAGCTTTGGTGATGGAGAAATCAAACTTGAAATTAAGCATAATTAGAATGCAGTTTTTGTGTTTACATCGTACGGACAATTAACTACAGATGGATCAATACCACTTTTATATTTTCTGAAATAGATACTGAAATCTTCAATATCAGCTGATACACATCCTGTGCTATTGTTAATTGAAGTACTTTATTTAAGATGAGCCTCTAAAGTGCTCATCTTAAGTTCAGTCATGCTGAAACTACTCAAATGAATCGTGTTCATTTGTCCTAGGTATATGACATTTAAAGCCAGTTTTAAAGCCTCTGGTACACTGCAACACATGTCAATTTAATACAACATATGACCGTCTGATGGTTTAAATAAAGATACCTGCCGCTGGTGCCATCTCTCTAAACACCTAAATATAATATACAAGAATTCCAAATACTAAATGTACTAAATTCCAATGGAGCCATTTTTTATTCTCTGTTGATTAGCTCTTATGGGTTGTGAGTCTGTTAAACACATTCAAATGTCATCAGTAAAACAATATGTATATAAGTTTGTGGTTGACCTAGGGATACAAATTTTGGCTAATGATTTTTACCAATAACCAACAGTCATTAGTCAACAATTAATTGTTAACTTGCAGGCCTAAAATCAAGGACACAACCCATCAAAATATCCATTATAAAACTGACAGTTTTAGTTCTGTATTGTAAAGCTCTGAAGTTATATTTACCACTCGTTACTAGTCCAGGTTAAAGTGACTATAAATACCATGACCTAGGCTAGCTTTGGCTCTGTATACCTAAGTATCTCTCAGAATGATCATTTACATTTCTAGTGTGACCACATTCATAGAACAGCATGTTATGTCTGCAGACCATACTGTAATTTCTTTCTGTGGTATCCCTTGGATCTCCGGAGATTAGTTCACATAGAACTTCTGTATTTTGAGTATTACAAATAGCACTAGGTACCTAAAATTTGCATTGATCTAAATTAGCATCCGCTTATTATTATTGTATTTTTTTGCATGGATGTTTATTAGTGGTTCTGTAACATTTATTATTATATAGGATTCTTTTTGTTAGTTGTGTTTAAAGGAATTGTTTACGTAAAAATGCTACTTGACTGGTCTTAGCGTCCATTTGTTGCTAGAAAGTTGTATTTTTTGTTTTTTAATGAACCATTCCATTATTATAAAAAACTGAATCCCATCTCACATCACTCATTCTTCATGCAAGCTGGTTTGCCAGATTGTTTTGGGGGGAGTGTATTAGCTTTGGTGGTCAAGGACTGGTGGCACTGCTAACGGCTACGTCACTAGGAATTGACAGTATTGGAAATAAGAGGAAGGAAGTATTACTACAATGTTAGATCACTAAGCTCAGACCAACAATAGTTATCTCCCCTTTGGGGCACTATTCAAATTTACCTGTACCCGCCTTCATTAGAAAGCCTTGCTGTAGCAGTTCTGCTCACATAACAGTTGGAACGATTTGCATCTGAACCATCAGTTGGTCATATGTAGTATTGAATTGACATGTCGCAGTGTACAAGAGGTTTTAAAGCTGGCCTTAAATGTCATATACTTAGAATGAACAAATGATTCATTATCAATTACAGTCTTGCGTATCCTAATTAATATATTTATACTAGCACTGAAAGCTAATTCTAGATCAACCCTGTGGTACTGCTTTCAGAGAGCGTGACCTATGATGGTGAGGTAAACCTTCAGTTATTGAGTTCATTCAGTCTGAAGGCTTTTTTAAGAGCCATTCCTGAAATAGCATATTTTCTGTCTGAAAGGACTAGCATTGCTGCAGTGACTTGAGCCTGTCTGACATGAAAGCACTGATGTCAATCATACAGACTTGCTGCAAAGCAATGCCATCATTTGTAGGCAAAATATAAAAGTGATTTACACAAACTAAATTTGCAGAAGTGTCAGTTGAAGTGCTGTTAGAAGTTAGAAGTGTTGTATAATTTTTTTTCTTTGTTGTGGTTAATACATTGTAGCAGGGCTGCCCACTCCTGGTCCTGGAGATCAACTATCTGGGAGAGTTCTCATCCAACAAACCTGGCTCTAATATTCAGATGCTCCTGAAGGCCTTCATTGCCTGGATTGGATGCGTTAGATTAGGGTTGGAGCAAAACTCTGCAGGGTGGTAGATCTCCAAGGCCAGGATTGGGCACCCTGCATTACAGCCTCCATCATTTGAAATGTCATTTGTATTATGGCATTATGGCCTTCTCTCTGAAGCTATTACTAAAGTAAAGTAATAGCTATGTGGTTTTTGAGATAGATGCCTTGAAATAGAGTGTGACAATATTTTATTGTTGTCGTGATAAATATTGCTATTGTGATAAACAGTAACTTTTTTTTATTACATAAACCGCAGAATTAATCCTCTTTAATTAGCTTTATTGCTGTGTAAAAAAAATGTAATTAAAAGCATTGTACCAAGAATTTTTGAGGGCAGTTTTTAAATGAGGTATTTCCTCTGCATTGTGTCTGTGTCACAGTAATTTGATACATATTGTGTATTGTAAAAATTCTTTAATTATTGTGATGCAATATTGTTACTGTATCACCCACCCCTACCTTGTAATATGATATTTGTGTGTGTAAAGAAACACACAGTTATGTCCAACATGACCGCTATCATAGCCAAATAGGTCCAAGTGCATGTGTGGGCGAAATCTAGAGAAGAAATTTGGAACTTTAACTATTATTTTAAAAACAAAAACTCGAACTACCTCTGCATCAATGCTTGTTTGCATTTATTCTAATGTTTTTTGTTGTTTTTACCTTAAGAAATGGGCCTGTTGTCCAGGTAAATTGGTTAAAACCATTTGCATAGGTGTCTGACTTTTGCACAGTACTGTATGTGTGTGAGGAAAAGAAATGAAGATAAAAGCTATTTGTAGAGGAACACTGACACTTTCACTTGGTTCAGGATGGTGTTTTTCTTGCAGTATCACATGTGAGTATGAATTTGTAGGAGTGAAATTGAGTTGGCACTGTTTGTGGAGATGTGTTTAAAGGTGTCATAACTAAAAGCACTTGTCTTGCTTATTTATTGGGATTTTATTGGTGAAATCAGTTTAACATTAGCTGTGTTGACAGCTTTTTCCATTGTCGATTAAACTTCAACAGTTAATCAACATCAGTTGAACCCACATTGGGATATGTGGACAAATAACATTGATTTAGTACAGATCTAATCAAAGTTGCCCAGAGGGGCTGTTACTGCAGCAGCTATTTTGGAGATGAATAGAGTTTGTTAACACTGCAGTCGTTGTGGGTGTGTTCTCTGTCCTGCCTCTTGCACGCTGGAAGAGAGGGTTTCGTTCACACGTTTGTGTGAATGTGCGCTGAGCGTGTATGCTGTGGGTGTAAGATGGTAGCGTTGTGAAACTGGAGACAGAAGTTTGCCAGCTTGAGTACTTCGCCTGCCAGAGAGTCATATGACCCTGATGGAATTCTTTCATTGTTCTAGAGAGCAGTGCTGAAGTGTTTGAGTGGTGTGTACACACACACACACACACACACACACACACACACACACACACACCTGCACCAGCACTGGAATTCAGCCTTATTTTTCTCTGTTCACTCTTGATTGCCCCAGTAGTATATATTTACCATCTGAAGTAGCTGTATATGCTGATATATCTTTCAAAATATCTACATGTGCATTTGAAGGTGAATAAAATAGTTGTGATAGTGTTTACACTCGATTATATTCAATCATATTATTGCACAGGTTTGGATAGTTATCAGAGTCAACTCCTCATGTTCTCACATTTATTTTCAAGAACTGCCTTTCTGATAAATTGTTCAACTGTTAACATGGAACTGTAAAATACTTTACAGTTAGACCTGTCAGTGCTAAACTGTTAATCGACAAATAAACAGTTGTTTGACCAATGCTGTTGGTTAAAAATATATATTTTTTTATTTCCAATAAACAACAGTTGTGATTTTGAACTACCAGGTTTATCATCCAAGTTGAGGAATGTGTGTGAGAAAGTGTGTTACACGGCAGTGTGTGATGCTCAGACATGAATAGAGAAGGTTGTGGACAGCGAAGTCCTTCAAGAGCTGCCGAGGTACAATGAGACAAAGCTAGCCAAGGTCATGGCATTTATGTTCGGTTTAATTTGGTCTAGTAAGGAGAGATAAATATAACTTTAGAACTTCATCAGTGTTTTGTATTTGATACTTTATTCATAAACACAATATAGTTTAAACAAAACTAGTTTTTTATGTAGGGTATGTTTAAAGCGGTTTAGGCTGTTTACTTGATGTGCATGCTGATGCCTTGCCCTACCTATCAGAACTACATTCCACGGTGTAGTAAGTAAATTCCAGTGAATTTATACAGACTCCATTTGATATGTGCACTGTCAAGTGTGTGTATGAAGTGTTTTACAATAGCTTCAAATGTAGCTCATCAGATAAACCTTTAGATCTGGAAGTTTCTGTATTATAATATTATATAACAGTTACAATATCATATTATATCATGTTTTAATATAAAAAAAACAATAAACAATAAAATGATGAAGGCCAAATTGACTAGATGCAAGATGACCTTAAAGAGCCAACATTTGCCATAAGCCTTGTGTGTCTGTCGCACATAGCTATGTTGAGGAGCAGACCTGCAGTGAAAGTTGACTGTGGATATGGGTTTAATGGATTTTTTTCTTTTACTATTTATTTCTTTAATTCTTGCTTTACTTTATAGTGGTTCTTCCACCTGCTGCACTGTCGCTGTCTGATGAAAAAGTAGAAAACTACCTGGTTTTTTAACACTAACATCAAATAGCCATTCTCTCTCTTGGTGTCTACATCACGTATACCCTCTGCTTATTGCCCTGTTGGAACCACTTCTGTCAGTGCTGTCTTGGTTATACAGTATCTAGAAACTTTCCATATTGTGCTTAGTGCAGCCTGTCTGTGCTGAAACAACCTCAGACAGTAGATCGCAAGTGTTTTCATATGCGGACAGTACTGTAGCACAGATGTTATCCTAGACCAGCTGGGGGAAAGTGTGCGTACTATATGAAAAACTTTTATCATGGCTTTATTGTGAAGTCTGTTGGTCCAAAAGTATTTCCAGACAAGCACTTGTCAAATTAGCAGAGTTGACTACACCTTAACTGGTAGCACTAATGTTGATAGTAATACACTATTGCACTGCTCCACTTTTGTCCTTCAGTATACAGTGCTGCTTCTGTTCTACTGCTCAGGCTTAGCAGTGCTGTTTATTGAGTTGCTGTCATTGTTTTATTGTAGACTGTATTCATATCTTGACCTTGGTACACACTGTGGTTTATTGCACAGTTATACATTGTAAATAGATTTACATTTTATTTTGCTAGCAATTTATTCTGGGAGTTTGCAGACCTAATTTCATTCCACTTGGATGATGAGAACAAAGCTATTCTAAATCTGTTCTATTCCATTGTATTGTATTCTAGACCAGCCTCAATCAAGAAGATTTATTTTGTACTGTATCTTTTTTCTTGGTTGTCAGGTAATATACTCTTGGCAGACCACTGCAAACATTTAAAATGCAATGTTGGATAAATCCGAATATAGGCTATTAGACAGTGTCAGTTAATTATTAAAAAAAAAACCTTTTGCCTGTCGACTAGCTAGAGGTTATGTCTGTAAAATATTCGGAGGACACTTGAAGTCTCTCTAATGCAGACTGTGTATGTATAAATGGTGTGTTTGTGTGTGTGTGTATCTCAGCCACAGAAGTCGTGATGAGGAGCGAATCTCGAAGCCAGCGGCGGTGTCCACTCCTGTTAAGATGGTGGAAGATGCACTGCTAGTGCCAGCCAGCGAACAGGGAGACAAACAGATACCCCCATTGCCAGGTCAGAACCCTTCACTATCAAGCTCTTCTGCTTTCCATTTCTCTCTGTTTGTTCTTTCTCGCTATCTCACATTCTCGATTGTCTCTTCCATCCACTGTCAGGTCAGAGTCCAGACTGTGTCTGATCACGTCCAGACATCTGTTCTCCACTCCCTTTGTATTTTTCTGCTTTTTTATTGTCTTTAATCTTAACCCAAAGACTACATAGAACCAATGACAGGGTCAGAATGGCAGAATTTACAGGATTTCAGAGTAATTTGTGAAATCAGTTAAGAGTCCTCGATATTTGAGTCCTGCTTTTTTCCAACGCCAGAGGTGATGAAGCAGAGGAGACATCCAGGAGTAACTTAAGCTTTTGCAATGTTGTAATGGAAGAGGAAACATCCCTTGGTACCTGAAACAGCACTCTATAGCTGTATAGCTTCTTTGCCACTGCCAGCTTTACTGTGTATGTATTTTAAGTGGGGTCATCAGTCATGTTTCATGGCAGTATTTGTGTGTTCTATGTGTGGGTACAGAGCCAAAGCCAGTGTATGCCCAGCCTGGCCAGCCAGATGTAGATCTGCCGGTCAGTCCATCTGATGCCCCTGTGCCCAGTCCTGCCCATGATGACAGCATTCTGCGGTAAATCAAGCTTCCTATAGTTCACTCACAACATACTTCCATACCAACATCTGTTATATTACAAAGTATTATATTCCATTCCAGTACATTGCCATCATACGTCTAGACTCAACATGTTACACAATACAGTACTGATTATTTATACTATATATTTAGTAGAGGTAAACATCTGATGTCACTTCTATTGGATAACAATTCAGTCAGCACTTTTAGGTCAGCATATCTATGCAGCATTGCATTTTACATGTGTAATATTTAGCATGTTTATTATGTTTATATTATTGTCAGTATGGTCAGGATTTCTGAAGTTTTTTGTGTGTTTATGCGTGTGTATGCATGCGCATGTGTTTGACCCTATAGGCCTAGCATGAAGCTAGTGAAGTTCCGGAAGGGAGAGAGTGTGGGATTAAGGCTGGCTGGAGGTAACGATGTGGGCATCTTTGTGGCTGGAGTTCTGGAAGACAGTCCTGCTGCTAAAGAGGGTTTGGAGGAGGGAGATCAGATACTCAGGGTGAGCACAGCGAACAAGACATTGAACAGCGAACAAGACATCCTGTGTTTTTTTTTACTTACACACTCATACAGTTCCTTACAATCAACAAACAACAAAAAGCTTCTCCACTTGATTAAATCCATAAATTAAACAAAATAGCCAGATTGTGATCTGAGAACTTGGGTGGACCATAAACAACCTGTAGATTTATTACAGGCAATAGTATGTTGAGTGATTTTTCTTCTAGTATTTTATAAATGATGACAGTGACATGCTAAGCTTTTACGATGCATTTTTAGGCAATAACCCCTTAACCAAAAAGAGAGAGTCCATTTAGGGGCCTGAATAGGGGGCAAAAATATAACATCACAATACTTCAAGACGTTTTCACAATACACAAATACACAATATGCATTATGATCTCTTTGTAATGAAACATGCATTTGGTCAGTGTTTTTTAATCATATCCATGACATGCTCAGAAAAAGCACATGCATAAATTAAATTGACTTCAAAATCAGGCGTTTGATTTTAAGAAGTTAACCCCTAGAGTGAGCTCTTGACAGTAGCAGGCTTTATGTCATTCATATGTTTGTGTTTAATACAATGCACGTGCTCTTGTCTAGTGGGGAACATCTGTTGTTGACTTATCTTGGTCCTGCAAGGGTGTGTGTGTGTGAGTGTAAAGCCTCCCACACTTCCTTGGAAAAATATTGAGAAACTATGTGACCCTTTGATTGTGGTCAGAAGTGACCATTACATACTGCTGCCATGACTCCATGCCTGTCTCCTCCCAGCCTCGGCACCTCCTTTGTTTTAATGCGTCAACACACACAATGGCATTTACTGTTAGACCCGAGACACCCGGTGATGACTCACTGCTCTCAATAGTTGGATTCTACACAGAATATGAGTCAGATTCATTTAGACCTTGTTTATCTCTGAAACCATTTTAATAAAGCATGTTTGGAGTGGTTCTTACACCAGCCAAAAAAAACAACATGCTTTGTGTATGTGCATTAGAGTAACTCCTCAAAGCTTTACTCCCTGCTGAAAAAGCACACACTCCTCAGATTCCAGACTGCTCCCTGTGGTGAAGCTTCCAGCATAGTTTTCTGTCCACACATTTCTCTCCCAGAGCAGCACTCGAATACATCAAACTCAGAGAAAATATTCTCTCTCCCCTCCTCATTCATCTTTCCCCCTCTCTCTGTCTCTCTCTTTCTCTCTCCTTGTGCAGGTAAACAATGTCGACTTTGCAAACATCATCCGAGAGGAAGCCGTGCTGTTTCTGCTGGACCTGCCCAGAGGCGAAGAGGTCACCATCCTGGCTCAGAAGAAGAAGGATGGTGAGTTTATTTGTTGGTTGACATGAGGAGGCCTCAAACACCCCCTGCTCACTTACTGGCCTATTGTTTATAGACTTAAATGTGCATGTGGGGGTGTGTCTTGGTGATGCAGCTGGATTCTAGGGATAGTTTGGCTAAAAATACTGACTGTGAACTTTTAGCTAACATTTTTTTAATGCCAAAGCTTATTATTTATTTATTTATGCTTTAGACAAAGAAGATACCCGAAAACCCTACTAGTTCTTAAAGTCTATAAGAACATCTCAGATTGGGCCTAGTATTTTTTATTAGGCAAAAAACAATGAGCAGCAAAGAAAGTCGTAATTGCTCTTTAACATCGCTGACTGACGTTTTAAATCTGAATAACAATTGCAGCATCAAAAAAGGCCAGAGGCAGCTGGGTATTTTTAGTAAACTATAGTGACAGCATAATTTAAGTCACAGTCAAAACAAAGTCAAAATAAAAATAAACCGACTGATTACGTGTCCCAGTCTGATTCTGATTGTGCAACCCTAAAAAATACTAATGACACTAACAATAAATAGAAAGCAGTAGTGCAGTAGTTTGTACTTATAATGAATTACACATTGTCTGCAGTCAATATATATATATATATATATATATATATATATACACACAAACAAGTATACAATAAAATTAATAAATATATGCTGATTTTTCTGCTAGTGTATCGACGAATTGTGGAGTCGGACGTGGGCGATTCATTCTATATCCGGACCCATTTTGAATACGAGAAGGAATCTCCGTACGGCCTCAGTTTTAACAAAGGCGAGGTGTTCAGAGTGGTGGACACACTGTATAACGGCAAGCTCGGCTCCTGGCTGGCCATACGCATCGGAAAAAAACACCAGGAGGTAGAGAGGGGCATTATCCCCAACAAGAACAGGTACAGCAACCAAGTTTGTTTTAACAAACTGTTTTTACGGTTATGAGCGTACTTTAGGTGTGGATTGCACCGAAAACCAGCATTAAATATGTGTTCTTTGCTGAACCCTAGCACTGTTGTGTTACATGAAAACTTTGCTGTGTTGTCATTTGTGGGAAATTAACACATTTCCTGAAAGCTTTTAGTTAATGATTGTTCTTGGTTAATTGAGCCGCTCTGTAAAGTTCCTATATGATGTAATGTTATTGTATGTAGTCTGTGACTCATTTTTCCTAACAAAGAAAGCAAAAGACTGCAACTACAGTTCAGTGGTCCCAGATGCCCATGCTTTTGAATGGGGCTTTTTTAAAATGTGGTCATTTGTACAACTCAAGAGTCTATATGAAGCATATTGTTTAGGGTGGCCAATAGAGGGATTTCACCTTTTGTTTGATATTCATGTTTATAGAACACAGTTTGTATTATCGTCATTATGAATATATAAAACAAAAAAAAAATTGAGAATCATCTCAGTGTCTTTTTCTGGGAGAGATGCATTCTATGTCATTGCACTCTCAGAAATGTAGGTATGAAACTGTCACTGGGGCATTACCCTTTGTGTCACTGGGGTGGTATTCTCAAGCGCACATCTCAGCACCTTTAGTCAAGGAACAGAACTGTACCCTAATACACTGAAAATATATTTTTCTAAGATTAATTGACTCCACACACCCTGTCTCGTCTCCAGGCCTTTTTTATTGTTCTGTTTTAAAACATTAGGTTATGAAAAGGTACAAATACATACTTTTCACCTGGAAAAACGTATTTAAGGTACACAGTTGGACCTTAAAACCACTGTTATACATTTAAGGGTATATTTACATTGTTTGTACCTTGATGAATGAAAAATGTACCTGCACAGAACCTTTATTTCTACCAGTGTGTGATAATGATAATTATTATACACAGCAAATCGAAACATACAAAGAACATCCCTCACAAACATATTTGGCTTGTGTTTGAAAGCTAGTGTTTGCAGGGAAGCAATGACATCTTCCCTCACAGTCTGTGCTGTTGACATCACAGATTGATATTCTGTCTCCCAGCGGGGGCATGTCTTCACTGTGTGATGCTGGCACACTGCTGACTGTTTTCAAAATGAAACTGACTGCAAGTTTATTTCCTGCCATAAACAGTTGCTTTTGTGTCCCTAGACTGTGTTGAAATTTTTATTTATTTAATTTTTTTTTAAGTAGTTTCGTCTTGTCTCCAGGGCAGAGCAGTTGTCCAGCGTCCAGTACACACTACCCAAAACCCCTGGTGGGGACAGGGCTGACTTCTGGAGGTTCCGAGGTCTTCGCAGCTCCAAGAGGAATCTGAGGAAGAGCCGAGAAGACCTCTCTGCTCAGCCTGTGCAGACTAAATTCCCCGCTTATGAAAGGGTCGTGCTCAGGGAGGGTATGTAGGACAGCCTCTGCACATAATCACACTGGGGGTTCCTTTTTGGTTAATGGAATGTACTGTTTCATACCTCTATGTTTAGAGGTACAGGTGAAGGTCAGGTATTGGGATTATAACAGGGTTAGAGCTTGGCTTAGGTTTAGAACCATTGTCAGTGTTGGGCATGTATTTTGAGAAATATATAGCGTGGCTAAACCTCCTCCAGAGTGCTAACTTTATAGGAGAAGGAAGAAACGTACTAACTTTCAAAGGGCCCATATCAAGGAAACCAAATTTCCCTCACTGTTTTAATTAAAGGACTTTGAAGTAATATGTAAATGTCAGATGTTCAAAACATACCATTCACAACTCAGTCCATATGGTCTGTATATGGAAACCATGGTGCAAACATGGAACCAACTCATTCGCATATGTTCACCTATTAGGTCTACAGCAGTTTAGCTCAGCCCAATCTTACTGAAGTTCTTGGGAGTGTTTCAGCTTTTTGAATGAGGTATAGTACAGGACAGCCAATCATAACAGAGCTCATTTATCGTTTTCTTAAAGGTACAGTAACAAAGACAGCCTGTTTAATTCTAAGTGATGAAGAGAGGTTGGAAAAAAGTGATGCAAAAATGAATTATCGCCATTTTTGTACATTAAACGACACAATTGTTCTAAATGGTCCTCAAGGAAAAAATAAATTACAAAAAACATGTAGGATATGTGCTGCCCTTAAATATACCTTAGTGTAATAAGTTTTTATTCAGCATAATTTCTATTTCTCCGTTCATCATAAAAAAGCACCTGGTGCTCTTTCTAATTTTGTGGAAAAATAAACAAAAACAGTAATAATATAGCACTTATTTAGATGTGATGGCACTGATATGCAGTTTTTTAAGCCAGGAAAGTCTCCCTCACTATATAAACAAGCAATGTGTCATAGTAGCGCCACACAGTGGCAGGAGTTATTATAGCAGCTAGTCCCAGCACAAGTTTTCTTTTTTGCCTTGGTATTATTTTCTGTACTAAAGTTCCCAGTTGATACATAACCAGATACATCTGCACATAGTTAAAGAAACTGACTGTTGTTATTTAACTGATGCATTTTGTTGAACTGCTGATCAGTAAATGAGCTGTAAGCAGTTCTGGGTAATGGTTCCTCTCTCTTCTCTCCAGCCGGATTCTTGAGACCCGTAGTGATCTTTGGGCCCATTGCCGACGTTGCCCGAGAGAAACTTGCCAGAGAGGTGCCTGATCTGTTTGAGCTAGCAAGTGAGTGTCAATTCACCACACTCACACACTCTTACACACACCTTTTTTGGTAAGATACACTGTCCTGGACATGCCTGTTCAGTGTACTAATCCATCTAGCCACTCTACACATTCTCCAGGGAATATCCCAGCTCTTTCCGCATTCACCGTTATTGTAAAAAGTACCAAGCACCTTCGGTGTCAACTTTCAATTAATCTGAGTGCACTTAGCGTCTAGCTTGTTACCTGATTCCACGCGTGGCTTTTGGATTTTGCATAACGTTGTTGCTTTATGATTGTATTTTGCCTTGCAGAAACACAGCACCCTGGAGAAGGGGAAAGTATGTCGCTCACTGCATCAGCTTGCTTGATTTATAGTGCTAGATAACCACAGGCTTTGCTTTATGCCATTGAGAACGTTGTTTTTAGTTGCCCAGATTGACCTCTGCTTGGAATGATTCTCCTTGACCTCCCCCCGAAACTTGTTCATGCGGTCAACAGCACCAAACACCATAGCCGCCAGTCACACCAAAGTGTGAATGAGGCCACATTACTCATCGACTCCCACTGGTAGCACTTTTATTCTGTGGACTATATTTTCAATTGGATCCATAATATTCATGATGTTCATTTGCTGCTGTTGCTGTCTGGATGAATGCAATATTGAGCAGTTGGTTGAGGCTTGCGTTGCTGCTCACTCTAAATGCTAGAGCCCATGTCAGCTGAGGGCTTTGAGGCCATTAGTGGTTTTAAATCCTGTCCATTTGAATATGTAGTGAAAGTGTATCACCACTCACTCACTGATGAATATATACAAAACTTCAGATTTACAATTTACACCCATGTGAAACTCCGCAGTGCGTTTATGCACATGCAAAACTGTGGCATTACACTTGCACACACACTTACGAAACGTGATGTTACACTTGCAGAACATGTGAAACATGGTGTAGACATTATGTATGCTGCCGCATGCGCACATCCATACGGAGTTCTGACCTCACTGTATGCTAGAAGCTAGAAGCTGCCCACATTCTGCTGGTCTTTGACCAGTTCTGTCATTTCTGTCACAATGGTTTAATATTTGAAGAGGGAGAGCTGTTCATAGACCAGTATGAGGGGGCAGCTTCTATCTGAGGATGCTAAACTGCTGCATGAATGCAAGTGCTGGACTTGCGATGCAGTCGAGTAACAGTTTGTGTTCTGTCCGCTGTGCAGAGAGCGAGCCCAGAGACGCAGGAACAGACCAGCGGAGCTCTGGAATCATTCGCCTTCACACCATCAAGCAGATCATCGATAAGGTGAGGAGAGCACAAGCATAAACAAGTATGAGTCCAGAATGCACTTAATTCTAGTAACTGAACACTACTGGTCAAAAGTTGGAAATCACTTGTAAGTACGTAATTATTATTTTTTTTTATTATTTTAGCTGTATGTATATTAATTTATGCACGGTATGTATAAATATAATAAACTGGACAACAGCATATTTTTGAAGTTGTATTCAATATTAAAAGCATTTTGGGAACAAGAAGAAGTTATTAAATGATAATACAGACAAAAACAGCTTGATGATTTAATTAACATGTTTAAAATATGAAGCATTCTGGATATTAATTTTTTTCACGCTTTCACTCCATTTTACTAACTTTCTTGTTGATGCTGGACTGTCTGCAACAATTTTTTTTGTATTATTAAATTGATATTATTGAAAGTTTTGAACAGTAATTTCAAACTTTTGAATGGTTATACAGTTTTATATATTTATTCTTTTAGTGCACCTTATACATAGAAGACTTAGCTTAGGAGACAACAGAATGTTTTAGTGCAGGGAAAAGTTCCATGACAGCCAGGTTGACGATTGTGATGATTAAAATGCAGTGCTACAGTTAGTGTAGTATGTAACAGATAACTAAGCAATGGATAAGGGAGGAAGATAATAGTGATTAATAAAATTAATATAATTTTTTACAGGACAAACATGCAGTGCTGGACATCACACCCAACGCAGTGGACCGGCTGAACTACGCACAGTGGTACCCCATCGTTGTGTTCCTGAACCCAGACAGCAAGCAGGGGGTGAAAAACATGAGGACCAGACTGTGCCCCGAGTCCAGGAAGAGTGCAAGGAAGCTGTATGAGCGAGCACTCAAACTGAGGAAAAACAATCACCACCTCTTTACTGGTGAGAAAAGAATGAATGTGTGCGAAAGGCAAGAGACAGTGTGACGAGAGTATGAGTGAATGTAGGACTGTATGTGTGGGAGTGAGAGTGTCTGTATGACAGATAGAGGAGGTCCCAAGAGAGCAGGCACATCTCCTTATGGTTATTTTCAGCACTCATATTCTACAAATCCACATACAAGGTGAGGCAGATACACACACACAATGGCATAAACAACTTTTACATGCTCTGAGTGCTGTGGGTAGGAGTCCTTGGGGAATGAAATTGACCTACTGGACAATAGGGTCAAGTGTGCCAAGCCGCACGTGTGGCAATATGTGGCTAATGGTTTTAAAAGATGCAGCTCAAGGACTCTCTGTGCACTAGAGGAAGTGTAAATGATGTTCATCTCTCTGGAGAGGTGGGGCTGTCTTGGACTACAGGAAGAGATTTAGTATTAGGAATTGGATATTCAACCAACGTCACATGCTTAAAAGTGACCTTCCATTTTGTTCTCAGTAGTATATTATTTATTTTTTTATCTTATTTATGCATATATCTCGTAGTGGTCGGAACAAAACCTTGTATCTCCATTCTTGTTGTGACATTATTTGAAAATACCAGCTGCCCTGTACATTGTGTAAAAAAAATCATGATCACTGGACCAGTAGAGATGCTCTGAAATGACTTGGAATAAAACATCTTTACATTAAAACACACTGAAAGTCTTTTAAAACAGACATGTTGTTTAGTCAGACATATTTGGGAACTGTTTGGTGCATTAATGTGAGTAGTCTAGCACTCTTCTACCTGATAATTGATCTGTAGATTTTGCGCTAAATGGAGCAGAACAACCTGAAGTCAGTCAGCATGTGGAGTGAAGAGAAGGAACACTTTAGAACAGTCATAATCATTCTAAATACCTTCAGGGGTGTTGTTCTGGACACTGATTAAACCATCTCAGGCTTGTGAACTAAGAACAGCTACTTTCTTTAGTTGATGGGATGTGTAAACTTTAAACAAGACTTAAACAAAAGCTGTCTGTGATTTATTAGTGGGGAAACAATTGTCTCAGTTTAGGGCAGCAAGTCATTTATTGCTGTGTTCACTTTTGAAATGCTGGTCCTTAGCAAATGAATGGTTGTTATTGCCAGTGTCCTAAAATGGTCCACTGAAACTCTTGCAAATTAACATTTCAGTATTGGAGATTCATTGCAACAGTTGATTGTTGTTGGCTGACTTCTCTCTCTTCCTGTCCACTTCTCTCTCTCCCTATACAGCCACCATAAACATGAACAACATGAATGAGGGCTGGTACGGAGCGCTGAAGGAGACCATCCAGCAGCAGCAGAACCAGCTGGTCTGGGTTTCAGAGGGCAAGGTGAGGCTTCTGTCACTGGTTTTTGTGTCATTTTGTGTAATTTGTCTTCATAATTGTATATCACTGTGTTTTGCCACAACTCTGTTTTAATTCTTATATGTAACTTTTCAACTCCTTTGCGGTTTCTTTCCTCATGTTTTTTGCCTTTTGTTTTCATCCTATTCTTCTCTCTCTCTCTCTCCTCCTCCCTATCCTCCAGGCGGATGGTGCTCCTGAGGATGATCTGGATCTTCATGATGACCGTCTATCCTACCTGTCTGCTCCAGGCAGTGAGTACAGCATGTACAGCACAGACAGCCGCCACACGTCTGACTATGAGGACACGGACACAGAGGGTGGTGCCTACACCGACCAGGAGCTGGACGAAACATTGAATGACGATGCAGGACCACCGTGCGAGCCAGCCATCACCCGCTCGTCCGAGCCCGTCCGCGAGGAGCTGCCTGTCATCCAGCAACCGCCCGGCTACCCCGCCTACCGGTCAGACGCACTGAGCCGAATCGAGCCAGCTGGCTTCAAGGGCCCCGCGCCGCAGCAGGTAGCGTTTCTCAGAGCCGCGCACCTCCCCTGCTGCCTGGAGGCTATGGTGTGCTTCAGGAAAGGGTTATGGAGGCGCTTCTGAATCTAAAAAAGGGGATCTTTTCAAACAATATCACTGCAATACCCTACATTATGGCGACCAAGTACATATTGTTGCCACGTATTTATTGTGTATGTGTGCACGTGTGTGTGTGTGTGTGTGTGTGTGTGTGTGTTTGCGTGTTGTTTTTTTGTCATTTTTGGAAACGAAAAAGATACGGCTCAGCTGTTTAACCCCCACCCAACGTAACTGTGAACTCTCGTCCTGGTGTGACTCTCTTAGTTTTTCTCATCGATGTCCTCACCTAGGGTGGAGTGAAGCACCGTTGTGTTTAGCTGTTAGCTATGTCCCTCATCCCTGTCAATCAAACTGATGATGTCATTACTGGAAAGCTTAATATGCATGACTGAATTATCAGTGTTAAACATATTACCATGTATGTATTTATCTATCTGGGTCTAATAGTGTCTCTATTATGTTACCGAAGAAGGGTAAAGGCCAAAATGTTGTACCAAATCCTAGAATTAAATACAAAACAGTATATATTACCATCAGAAGCTTGTCCAGTTGTAGATTCTTGCATGATATTGATTCCACATCCCTTTGGTAAACAGTAACACAACACCTTCCGTTTTGATAATGATTCACGTACACGTTACTGCTTGTTAGTGAGGCTTGGATAAGGGCGGAAGAGCATGAGGATTAGATCAGGGCTGAAACATTTAGTTAACCGACGATGTTGATTTTGGATAAACATTGTGTCTTTACTTAACAAAGAAGTTCCATTCTTTATGATGACCCGTAAAAGAAGAAATTATTCGTCACACAGTCAGAACCGTGGTTTCACTGTGACAGGCGTACCCACATAAGCCATAATGGGTAATAAATAAACTGAATAATAGTCGATGCATTGATTTAATGTAGAAGTAATTGTTAGTTGCAGCGCTAATGATGATGGTGATGATGTTGAAGGTGCAGTTCAGGTGCAGTGGCGAGGTTTGTGAGCACCCTGTATTAAACATTTCTGACCACCTTCACAGAAAGCAGAGGCTGCTCTTCCTGAGCCGCTGACTGAGACAGCGCCCCCTGGTGCCCACCTTAATGTAGCACTTCTGAGTGGTGCCACGGAGGGCCCAGCCGCCCCCCCACAGGGCGACCTAGCTCAGCCCCCAGCTCCTGAGCCCCTCCAAACCGGACAGCCCGGGTCAGAGCCCAAGGTACCGCACTATCCGCCCGGCGACGGATTTGGGCCGACCCGGTTACGGCCCAAGCTTGGTGCCCTTTTTCTCTCTTTCTGACTTTTGCCCTGCCTGTGTGCTGCCTCTTCCTTCTGCATGTACGCTGTCAGCATTGTGCCTCCCTGCGAGTGTGTGTGTGTAGGGCTGGGCGATACAGCTAAAAATCTTACTATAATATTTTTTCCATCTCATTTCATAGCAGTATTATTATGTGGAGCTCCTTATGTTTAATTTTATGTATGAATAAGATTTTAACCCTTCAAAACAACTAAATTGATCTGGCTACTCTTATTTGGTTGCTGGTTGTTGCTAGTTGGTACTATTGTGAGTGAATGATTAGACATACATCGCCACCTAGTGTATCTAAGAAGCAATTGTTTAAGCTTTGTCTGTTAATAGTAGTTCAAGGAATATAACAGATATTTTAGAAAAAAAATATCTCAATGTATGTCATCAGTTTTGAAAATAAAAGGTTTTTTAAGATTTTTATAATTATCTTTAGCATTTTATCGCCCAGGCCTGTGTGTATGTGTGTGTGTGTGTTTTTGGGTCTGTTTCTGTATGTGTTGGATTATATGTATTGTCAGTTTGTAACCAGCAGTGGATGAGGCAGGGCCCTCTGCTTGTTGAAAGCGAAGGGAGGGAACTATGATCTTCCTGCTGCTGCTTGCACTCTTTTGCATGGCTCTAAATCGCCTGGGTTTGTTTCTTTGTTAATCTGTGTTGTTGTTGAAGTAGAAATATTAGCAGTATTTATAAATGGGTTTATTTAGTACTTCATCTGATTATATTCTTTAGGTTCATATTTTTCCCCTGCCTGTACTGACTTTGAAAGGTAGCCTTGTTGATTTCCCATGTGTTAGCACTGTAAAGTTGCTGACAGGATCGATATCCGTACTGAAAGGCTACTTCTCAAAATGTTTTTTATCTAGCCTGAAGTGAAACCTTGCCTCAGTATCAGTTGAGTAGTTTTTGTTGCAGTGATTTTTTTTTATTATTTATGGCAATTTTTATGTCCCCCCAGATATTTGTTCGCTTTATGTGTATAGTGTTGTGTACAGAGTTTCGTATTTCTCACATGTAAACCTCTTTTTAAACTCTGATCTTTATGATGGCTGCTTCTGGTTTGACCTGTCCAATAACGGCCCCCTCTGAGTCTCCTCTATTTCAGGTCTTTCCTCTGACTCTAAGCTTCAGCCTTCAGCCATTAATGTGTATTAATCATTTCTGGTTAAAGTCAAATCCATTGATTGCTAAAGTTTACATATTTTCTGTAACTTTTATAATGACTTAAACAAGCTTGTCTTCTGTTGTCTTTATCTGGCAGATGTATCAGAAAGAGATCTACAATGTGGATGAGCAAGTACGCGTCAGTCCTGGGCTGAAGCAGCCTGCCTATAACTCCCAGCAACCCCTTTATCAGGAAGAACAGCCATACAGAGATTATGACCACCAGCCCTACCGCTACGACAGCGCCTACATGGAACCAAAGGCTCGTAACTTTGACTCTCACTTGCAGTATGACAGTCGTGTGCCTCCATACGAAGAGCAGTGGCCTCCATATGACCACCAGGGGGAAGCGCCCCAGCAGTACGACCCCCGCCTGAACTACCAGGATGGACCGGATCGTGACTACAGCCCACCTCAGTCCCACTACGACACAGGCTACGACACGGGACGACCCCGCTACGGAAAGCCCGGACCAGCTCGTTATGATGAACCCCCTACCCTGGCCACAGGTGGCTTTGATGGACGTTCACATTATGACCATGAACCCCACCCCCTACCTTCAACCATGTCCCGCTCCCCTGAACCCCCGAAACAGCAATATTATGAGCCTCCACCTCCGAGGTCTGCCCATGGCCAGCCATCACAGAGGGGTTATATGAACTCAGATGCCCCCCCACCACCTCCCAAACCCGAGCCCCTCCCATCACCACCAGATACAGCCGTCACCGCAGCAGCCTCTAAACCCCTCCCTCCTCCCCCACCAGAGACAGAGGAAGACCCAGCGATGAAGCCACAGTCAGTGCTGACCCGGGTGAAGATGTTTGAGAACAAGCGTTCAGTGTCTATGGACCGGGCCAGAGAGTCTGCCGACCCCACAATAAGGGTGAGTCACTTAGTGTTGCATGCATGGCAGTCAGCACTGTGGTAGTGTTGGATCAATATCAAAGTTTTGTTTTTGATATTGTTAGTAGCGATACATCAGGCAACAAATTAAGAGCCTCAAATCCAATAGTTTATCATGATCCATTCCACCACTCTTACAACACACCCCTTTCTGCCCAAAATATGTAAAGGTGAACAGAAGAATATTTATATTTAAATAAGGAAGTTCCTTTATTACTTTGTGTGTAATATGGGTTGTCTTAATTAACTACAGTAAATTTAACATGAATACTATTTCTGAGTTTAAAATTAGCTATATTGTGGTAATATTAATTTTCAGTATTTCTGTCATGCGGTTAAACTAGCTACCATAGCTAGTGCTGTATAGTTTTAGTGGCCTGTATAAAAAGCACTAGTACAGAATGGATCAACGTATAGCACAGCATCTCAATAAATCACCAAACACCTAAACAATAGCTAAAGCTGGGTAGTTATCTAACACTTTTTTACTGTTAGCTAGTGTAATAACTGGCTAACCCTAACTTTAGCTGTTTCAGTCTGAAAGTGCTGTGAGAGTGGCTATATATTATATACAAACACAAACTCTGCACATCCACTACGTGAAAGAATGTTTTTTCTAGAAAGTACAGCACATTCCCATGAGGCATAGAATTTGTACGGCTTGTTTTAGGAAATCTTTAAATGTTTTGACTGCAGAATTCTTTACAACCAAATAAACAGATTATCAACTCTCTCTCTCACTCACTCTCTCTCACCCCCCCTCCAGCCAGCAGACATGGTTCCTAAACCAGGTGCAGCGTCCGTGCCCAAAGCCAACTCTTTGAGTAACCTCGACCAAGAGAAGACCTTCAGGTAAAGAACAGTGATAGCTTCAAAGATGCCAAATGATGCTGCATATACATCAATTCATATTCGTATCAGCTATATTGGAGTGCATGAAACCAAACATCATGTTGACATTTATACCTGTCTAAACCCACAAATCCAGTCATAGAAAGCAAATACAGAACATATCTGAACCTTTTCGCTTTGGGTAAGCACCTTTTAATCTGATGGTAATTACTACCTCACATCAAGGGTAGTTTCACTGGAAAACAAAAGCTGCTTTTGAGTGCAGTTTTTATAGAGCTTCACCTTGTGGTTTTATGAAATGTCACGCCTTAGCTCTCAACACTGGTGTTGAATTAGACCTTTCTACACCTGCAGTTACAGAACTGTAGCCATACATTAGCAGCTATTGATGTGCCTCCAGTGTTTTATTGATTAGATTTTAGATGTAGGAATTAGTTTGTAGAGGTTACTTTGTGTATGTGTTCTGTAAATGTATTGCTGTGCTTTCTGTATAACTGATCTCACTTTCCCTTTTCTCAAAACCACCCCCATAAACATGCACGCATACAAACATATAGAGCGCCTGAGCCCCAACAGCCCCAGTCAAAAGCCGATGACATTGTTCGCGCTAACCACTATGATCCTGATGAAGATGAAGAGTACTACAGGAAGCAGCTGTCCTATTTTGACCGCCGGAGCTTTGACAGCAAGCCCGCTACACAGCCACAGCCTGCCAACAAACCAGCACAACCACAGGCCCAGCCAGGGACCAACTGTCCTAGGTAACACACATAGGCAGAGACTACTGCTGACCGTGCATACTGTCAACTGTACTTATATATACTATAAACTGTACTTTTAACTGCAATTATATTAACTGGTGACTAGAAGAAAATTTACACCTGATCTTCCGATGAGCTAGCACAGCCAGAGGACCTGCCACATGTGCACACAAATATATTGGTCTAATGCAGAAATTACTCAGTTGAGCATTTGAAAAGAGTGATGAAAACAGGCAGGAAATGTATTCCATTAAGCATATGAGTAAATTTATTGTTGTTTGAATTGTGTTCTGAATCATTCTTAAAATTTGAGTGTGCCAAAAATTCTGACATATGTCTCTTATGTAAACTTTTTCATTAGCTAAATGCTTTTTTATCCACAGTTTATCTCTTGAAGTAAAAGGGGTCCACAGCTTTGGTGTGGCTTTTTTCAAAGGTAGCATCGAGTTAATATAATAGCAAAGGATAATCAGTAGTATATGTACTGCCCCTACATCTTAAATGTGTCACAGATAACCTACCTTACACTGATCTTAACCCAACTATGATCAGTTTTCTCCCCCAAATGGTAAGTCATACATGACATGCAATACAGACTTTTCTTTTTAACTGTGTCATCAAGATTTTAGTCTTCAGTACATGTTTCAGAAAGAATGCAGATGATTTGTTCTGCTATTGCTGAATATTTCATTTGGAAAGACTTATTTGGGTACACGTGCGGATCAGGAATCAGTTTTTGCTTTATGCGTAGGGACATAATTTTTAAATAATTGTGTGTTTTGCTATGTATTTATTACATATTGCTATGTATTTATTAGGGCGGACTCAGTGGACAAGGTCAGCCCTGTTCCCCAGGTAACCCCAGCTGCCGCTCCTCCAGCTCCGCCCCCTACTCTGCCCAAACCTGCTGGTAAATATTGCACATTAATCTCCATATGAGTGCAGTGTTAAAGTTAGAACCAACATTTATTATCAAGGCACAAGCCACAAGGTTTTCACAGACCTTTAATGTTCTTTTAATAAAGTATGCATTCCTTACCATGCTCAGTTATAACGTAATAAAGCATTCCTTACAATGCTTAGTTATAAAGTAATAAAGCATTCCTTACAATGCTTAGTTGCAGACAGCGATATAAATGTGGTATGTTTTTGTCCTTGCTTAATATGTACTGTCCTGAAATATTAGCAACTATTAATCTGCAATTTATACAGATTATTTTTTCTCATAATTTGTAAGACTGTATTTATTGCTGTGCTTTCTGTATTGCTGATCTCATTGATTTTCTCCTTTCTCTCTCTCTCTCTCTCTCTCTCTCTCTCTCTCTCTCTCTCTCCAGCAGCGACACCTCCTCCAGACCCTCACGGATCTCCCAAAGTGAAGCCCCCTGGTCGTGAGGACACAGTGCAGACCACATTCCTTCCCCAGAAAAGCTTTCCAGAGAAATCGCCTGTCAATGGCACTGGTGACCCCCCGAAAACCGCCGGTGCACCTCCCCCCTCCTCCTACAACCGCTATGTCCCCAAACCCTACACAGCCTCTGCCAGGCCCTTTGAGCGCAAATTTGACAGTCCCAAATTTAATCACAACCTCCTGCCCAACGACACACAGGCCAAAGCCCCGGCTAAAACGCAGCAACCGCCGCCTCCAGATCATGACAGCGGCCTAGACACCTTCACCCGAACCACAGAGCACCGGCCCAAGTACCTGCAGAATAACATCAACGCCGTGCCCAAGGCCATCCCTGTCAGGTTAGAGACACAATGTGTATGAGATAGAACATGAGTTGTTGTCATTGTAAGGCCAAGCAAATGTGAATACTTATAAAATACAAAACTGTTTTGCTTGTTTGTCTGATTCTGAAATTACATTTACATTTTGTCTAAAATGAAGCAAGGGAGTGTGTTAAATAAGGACTCAAATTTGACCTAACCTACAATAATCAAGCTGGGTGCTTTGATCCCTTTAGCAGAGAGAAATGATCATTATGTGTACTGTTTTATCTAAACCTGCTGTCTATATGTCAGCCCAAGTGCTCTGGAGGATGATGAAGATGATGATGTTCACACGGTGGTGGCCACAGCGCGTGGCATCTTTAACTGTAACGGCGGGGTCCTAAGCTCCATAGAAACAGGAGTCAGCATCATCATCCCTCAGGGGGCCATCCCTGACGGTGTGGAACAGGAGATCTACTTCAAAGTGTGTCGAGACAACAGCATCCTGCCACCCCTCGACAAGGAAAAAGGTCAGTAAATGCGCTTAGCTAGAACCTAATAGGGCCTACTAGTACTACAAAGACGGTGAAACATGACATTATAAGATCATTTATGATCATATAACAAATACTCCTTTAAGTGTGTGTGCATACGCCTGTGTGTCTCTCTACAGGAGAAACCCTGTTGAGTCCGCTGGTGATGTGTGGTCCACATGGTCTGAAGTTTCTGAAGCCCGTGGAGCTGCGCTTACCTCACTGTGCGTCTATGACTCCTGATGGTTGGTCTTTTGCTCTAAAATCCTCCGACTCCTCGTCGGGTACGCTGCCCTCTAATCTCTGTGCTTTTGGGGCTCTGCGGGGTTGGCTCTGTGGCAAATGCAGATATTGGGCTTTATAGGGGAAATCTTTTACTTCACTGTGCACATTTCTCATCCATGCAAGTGCTCACAAACTCATTGGTTCATTTGCTCATACACTCATTCACTCAGGGTGTTCTTTATATTCATTCTCTTGCTGGTGGCTAATTAAGCATGATCTCCAGGTTCCATGTTTTTTTCTGCGCTTTGCTTTGGACTGCTGGACTTTCCATGTTTCTTCTCCTAAAGGTTTTGTGTGTGTTCAGTGTAAGAACAATCATTTTTACTACGCACAAATCAGTAGATATTATGTTTTTTGTATCTTTACTCATTTGATCACTCATTCAAAGTCTTTTTCAAATTCAAAACTTTTTCATGTGTTGACATCCTGCATTGAGTGAGGAATGTCCTACATTGAACACAGAGCATCAGCAGACAATAAGTACAGACAATCAACTGCACAAAAAAACTACACAATAAAATGTACAGCCATTAAGTATATGACAGTAGAGACAAAACAGTGGACAGTGGGTAAGGGTTAAAAACCCTTAGTCCTCGGCAGTAGTGCTGCCTTCTATGTGTTCATGCAGTATTACTGGTGCACAATAATGGTAATTATCCTGAGCAGCAGGTAACAGTTTCAAAAATGCGGACAGTGTGTACAGAATAAGGTGTCCTCTAAATATAAAGTGACCAGGTAATGTGATGTATCATGTATTAAGTGACCAGCAGTAGACAGTGCAAGAGATGCGAGGTAGACTGAGGTAGTAGTCTGGTCAGAATGTGAAGGATCATCAGGCAGATCTGTTCGGTATTCTCATTGCCTGTGAGAAGTACCTGTTCATGAGTATGGAGTACTTGGCTTGGATGCTCCTATGTCAAGATGAGGGGCTTTGAACAGTCCATGTGAGGGGTCAGAGGGACCTTTTCGGATATGCATATAAAAAGTCTTCTTAGAGAGTAGTGGTGCTGACACGGGTCCCCCTGAAGTCAGCAGTAATCTTTTTATTTTTGATGACATGGAGAGAGAGAGAGAGAGTGTTGTTGCTCAGGAACTACACAGTTGAGTCACATTATGACCACTTCACGTCCACAAGCTGGTGGTGGCAGTGTTATGGTCTGGGGAATGTTTTCGTGGCATTCTCTGGGCCCACTCTTCTATGTGGAAGGTGCTCTCGGCCAATGTGGGTATGATTCCATCCTTGCAGATCACGTACACCTATATGTGCTGACTGTCTTCCATGGGGCGGATGGGATCTCCCAGCAAGACAATGCGGCGTCACATGGTTAGAAATGTCCGATATTGGCTGGAAGAGCGTGACCAAGACTTCCAAGTACTACCCTGGCCCGCTAATTCCCCAGACTTGAACCCAATTGATCATCTGTGGGACCGTGTTCGCTCTATGGATCCTCCCCCACGCACCCTCCAGCAGCTGCGGGATGCACTGCAGTCAGCATGGGTCCAGATACCTGTGACAACCTACCAGGACCTTTTTGAGTCACTCCCAGCCCATCTAGCTGCTGTCCTTGCTGCACACAGTGCAGTGGTTACTCTGGATATTAGCGGGTGGTCATAATAATGTAACTTGACTGTGTATTAAATACAGTTATAGAGTGAAGAACTCAGTCCAAGTGTGTGGAGTCTGTATGGGGTACGACAGTGTGATTTCTGAGCTATAGGAGGTAAGCTGTATTCTGATAGAGTTGTCCTTGTTGTTGAAGTGGAATAAGGCCAGATTTACAGAACAGCTTATGTTAACCCTCTTGGAGTTCTTTTGCCTGTAGGTGTACTAGTGAGGTCCAGTGTAACAGATGCATGCAAGCTATGACCATATGCTCAAAGAACTTCATGAGAACTGGGGTGAGTGCAACAGGGCAGGAGTCGTTATGTCACTGGACAGCAGCTTATACCTGGGAGATTCTGAAGATGCCTGTGAAGACATCAGGAAGCTGGTGGGCACACAACTAGTGATATAATCAGGGCTGATAGCTTTGTGTGGGTTCCTCCTGAGCAGCGCTCTCCTCATGTCTACCGCAGTCAGAGAGAGCACCTGGCCACAAGGGCTCTGGGGTTCAATCTTCACTGCTATCTTGGTGTTGGATGCCTAAAAATCAGTTATAGTTGTTCAGAGCATCTGGAAAGGCAATGCTCCTGGTGCAGGCAAGGTGATTCTTCTTTGTATAGTCAGTGATAGTTTGAATACACTGCCACATATGTTGTGAGTCAGTGTTCTTGATTTTTCAGTGCATAGAAGGCCTTGGCTTTCCCGGTGCCAGTGGTGAGGTTGGTTCTAGCTGCCCTGAGCACCGTTCTGTTAGCTGATCTGGACACAACATCATAGGCTTTGGGTGAGGAACTACCCTCACTGATCAGCAAAACCCTCTTGGTTGGGTTGTATAGTAACGGTTCAGATGATTGTTGCATCACCCACTTACTTACTTATGTAGCCAGGGACCTGTTACAAGGGGATTCCTCTTCCTTACTTTCTCTCTCTCACTCTACCTCTCACATGCTCATTCACTCCCTCTCTTCTTACCTCTCTCATTCTCAACCACTACATATCTCTTACTGACACCCCTGCGGATTAGCAGCTAATTACCCCTCATTTAGAAACATGTAGAGAAAAAAGGCTGGAGGAGAAATGAGGCATCCATTTCTTGTGTTGTCCTGCTTCTTTGGGAGAGGATTACCAGTCAGTGCCTCTAATCCCTCTATTGTAACTCAAAACTGTTCTCTAGCTTCAACTTCAACTTCTCCTCACGACCCCGGCGCTCTAACACTTTTCTTCCTTACAAATCTGAATGGACAAGCTCAGCCCAGCTGGGAGCGCTAACTGAACACTCACTTTCACAGAGGCTCTGTAGCCCTTATGGAGGAAACCTGCTTCAGTCTGTATCACTTTGGACTATATTCTAGTGCCATATCATTCCCTTTAACCTTTTTACTGAGATGTTTTCTGATTAACAAGGGTCGTTTTTAATAGTACAAAAGTTAAAAATCGATTCCCCCTTGTAACAGAATCCATGACACAAGTCATGGGAGAGAAGGTGAGAAAGGGAAGAATCAGTAGAATATGCTGATTAATACACTGCTCATTTAAAGTGGGGTGACACCTAGTTTTTCCATAAAAAATGTTTTTAATACAAAGGAGCATGTGTCCCTTTTTGGTTTGCAATAGCGTAACTTAATAAAAACTAACCAGGTTCTTCATATGAACAGTTACTTTTTCCTTGCATTCCTGACTGTTCATACAAAGAAAGTGCTCAGCATTTATTGCTACAGGGATCGTTTTCAGTGACAATGTGGTTTAAATATTTATTGTGATATTTCCTTCAAGTTATTGAGGACCAAGAAAGAAAACATGCTTATGTGTATTGAAGAAATGTAAAAAGTCTAGGTGTCCTCAGAAGCTAGGTGTTCATTTTTAAGAGGAAATATATTTCATATATCAAGCAAGAAACATATATGTGATGGACATGGCCAGTATTTGCTTAACTCTGAGCTATAAGAGATTGTGTTTTGTCCTTAGTTTTTCTTTCATTTTTTCCCATGTAGTTGTGAGAACTTGGTGGTGCCAAAACAGCAGATTGGGTCTTATAACTGAACACGAACAGATCTGATTTTGTAGTTCCCAGAGCTATAAAAGAAGAGGCAAGGAGAGTTCAATTTTTAATGCAATGCTTAAAAGTCTCTCAAATGGATTTTATATGGTTTTCTTGTGACAAACTCTGGATGAATATCTGCGTGAGATTATATCTGTGTGATCTAAAAAGCTTGTATCTTTCTCTACACAGTCTGAAGGGAATAAGTGTGTTCCACTGAAATTACCCTGCTATATTTTAAGTGGCCATTAAATCCACTCCAGCTTGAAATGCTTCAGTTCACCACAAGTTTTGGATGGGGGATCACACAGGACTTCATTGAAATAAGGTTTTGTTTTTATGTTCAGTTGTAAAATATTACCCACAGTATTGTTCATTTTTCTTTTTCTGTGCTCTCTCTCTCTCTCTCCTTTTTCCTCTTTATCCAGGTGACCCCAAGAATTGGCAGAACAAATCTCTCCCTGGAGATCCAAACTACCTGGTAGGAGCCAACTGTGTGTCTGTGCTTATCGACCACTTCTGAGGAGCCTGTTACTGAATGTGAATGCCAGGATAAAAGAAAGAAAACACTCTTTCCCTCTCCAAACTACACACGTGCACACACACACACACACACACTGCCATTAGGGAGGGGACGTTTTGGCAGTGATAAATGAAGGATGACTGCGCTTTGATTCTGTTTACTGTACCCATGGAGACTGGAGGGAGGATGACTTTTTCTGAAGTGCTGTTCTTCTTTTTCTTCTTCTTGATCTTCTTTTCTTTTTATAAGTGCTTAACAGCTCAAGAGTAAATCAGAAGAATAAACTTTTTTTAATCCATGATGGACTGCATGCTCCGTGCCACTGAGAATATTCCCACCATACGCCAAGTTTCAGATTCTCACCGCTGACAAAAATTCACCTTATTTTTCTCCAGGATTTGCCATGATCTTCCACGTAGACTTTTACTATAGACGATATTAAGCTTTTAGCATATTTTTACTATATTCAGAATGCACACTACATGTATAGTGTGAACATAATACACAGTGGAATTGAGGTTTTTATGGAATAGCAAATTTTATTAGACTTTTCTGTCAATTGAAGCGGTTACCACAGCACTCTAAACATGAGGACTCACACACACAGTAGGTGCAGAGGGATGAGAGGAAGTGTAGAAGCGGTGGGGTGAAGGACTATGACTGAGGTGCTGGAAATGAAGGAAAAAAGGAGGTGAAGGAAGCACAGACCAGTTTCCTGAAGCTATATTCAATTTCAACATGAACTGGTGCTCCTGTTCCCCATTGGTTGTCTTCTCTAACAGTGATGACTACCTATTGATACATCGCCACTTATACCAATGGACTGGTGGAGTGAAGCAGTTGATGTTTTCAGCGCTGTGGAGATCTATGCATGTCAGACTCAGGTGCCCAGACTCCTGCTCTATCTACTCTTCTCTGTTTCTCTTTCTTAGTTCTTTATCTCTTTTACCCTCCCTCACTTTCAACACCTCTTTTCTCTGTCACCTTCTCGCTCTCACTCTGTCTCTCTGTCTCACACTCCTGCTAAAGCAGTGATGCCTTATCTGTGGATTTACTCACTTTTTCAATAATGAAACCTCTTTTTTTTCTAAGTTATGATGGAGCCTGATTATGGAGGAATAATATTGTCGTTCTGCCATTTTGTCAATCCACTGTATAAACTAAACCTGGGTTAATACACAAGAACAATTAAGGCTAAAAAAAAGTAAAAAAACATATGCTCAGTTGACCTGCTATGCACACAATTCCTGACAAAATGGAAAAAAAAATGAGAAAATATAAAAATTGGCTGTACATAAAGCTAGCATATGGCCTTTGTTCTTGGTTTGTAAATGACTTTTTTATGTCTTTATTTTGTATAAAACTGGCGAGAAAAAAATCTTTGAAAAAAAAAATAATGAATGCAATGGAAAAAGTTATCTTTGTATTCTGGTTATACCCTTGAGCCTTGGAACTAGTGACTTAGCATTAATAATTCCACTTTTTCTACCAGTATATCCTCACTAATGTCTAAATATAAACATTTTTAACAGTCGCCACAACCTTTTTATGCTTTATTTGAAACAAAAAGGAAAGTGCTTGATTTAAACGCTCTCAGAAGATTTTTCTGGAAAAGGGTGTGCTCTGGTTCTGTCTCACTTATTATTTGTGATACTGGATGCTGTATTATGTGCCCTGAAATGTATTTTTCTACTAATAGATGAAGAATTGTCACACCAGTAATATTTTTTTTCTTTTAGATAACACAGCTTCAGTTGAATATTAGATCTTCACATGTGTGACTTTTTCCCCTTTTCAACACGATTTTAAGTATACCACTGTATTAATTAATAAAATCATTTTTAAAATAAATGGTTTGGTCTTATTTTATCCATAGTGCAGATCCTATGTTTATTTTATTTACACATTGGGATTATAGTACCTTAAAGTATTTTTGTTTGTTACAGTGTCAGGCTCAAATGTGGCACTATGGAATTGTTTTACTTGATTTAACACACTTGAATCAACTCATCTTAATTCTAATTTGAGCATGCTGGAGTGGTGTGAAGAGTAAACAGAGAGCAGAGCATGAGGACCCGGGTTCGACACCCTTGCCCTAGATCAAAATCAAAATAAGCTAATATGATTCAGCCTGCACTGACTGCAGTATGGTGCTATTCTACCATGATGAGCAGATTATGTATAATGAATATTTGAACAGTGAAGTAAAATTGGGTGTTTCTGTCGAATATTCATAAAATACACATCAAAATTTGTATTAGGTTTTGTATCAGAATGTCAGGCTTTCAAGTTAAGACATGTTGACCCAAAGTCCTTTTTTGTCCTACAGTTTGGGAAAGATAAAGCAAATAAAAGTATTTGGTCATTTGGACTAACTTGCAGTGCTCGTTGTAAATCACCATTGAGAATTCTTTTTAGTCCAGGCTTAGGCTTAATCTTGCTCTGGGAAATTGTTGCATAATGTCTTCCCTCTGAAATTCTCTGCCAAGCCTTCTCATCACTTAAACAGAGATGCCAGTTCATGTACTCTTACATTGTTTCCCAACATTGCCACCATACCCAATGGCTTGTACCAACCCAGCACACAATAGCATGTGACTACTGTACAGATCTTGTCATCGGTGGTCATCTGTTGGGCCCTATTCAATGATGGCTGGGGTAAAGGATGGCTGTTAATTTCCACAGCAATAGATGGACTACAGTCTGTGTTTATTAAACTACAAAGTGCACCAATACAGTAGGTGTACTTAATAAAAATGGCAAATATGTGAAGGTGTACCTAATAAACAATAGTGTACATTATCAATAAGGATCGGTAAGCCTCTTCCATGTGCAGCCATATGGGTCTGAGCCATGAGACTGCCTTGTGTGCTTAGGACCATGTTCTTAGTGCTGAGGGGTCTGCTTTCATGTAGCTTCTGTATTTCTCCACTCAAGATCTCTGAATGTGAAGTCATGATTTGTTCACTCGTTATATTCCCCATACTGTCTGTGATGCTGTTATTTTGGTGTTTCTCTTTTTAATTACTTTTCTATCGTGAAGCTGTGGTCCTCCTTGAAGGACTCAACCATCAATAATTGTTCACTCTTCTGGTAGTTTCTTTCTTTTTAAGACATTCAGCATAGATAATTTTGCGATTCCTGATTGCTCTGCAATGGTTCCAACTGCTTTTTGCCTTAATTTTGTCTTGAGAATGAATTGCTTTTCCAACATATTCAATTATGTAGTTTTCATTTTGCTTTTTGCCTTTTACATTAAAGTTAGGCACAAGGTACTGACTCCATTGTCTTCAGCCAGCCCTATACATCTACAGCTCTTTTGTGTGTTTTTTATACAATTAAAATTTACTTGCCACCCAGTGCACAAAAAGGGCATTGGTTTGAAATGCAAATCTCTTGAGCATGGGGTAAAAAAACATCTTGTGCTGTCCCAATGTTTGTGTTTCTCACTGTATACCTTCTAGGTTCTTGTCTTTAGACCTGAAATTTAATTTCAAAGGCCAAAGAAAATTTTGCCTAAAACCTCTAGTATGATAGTCTGCATCTGTCTGGTTGTAGGCTAATATAAAACAGATGCTCTTGGAAAATGAAATGAGATTATCAAGCTCCAGCAATGGAGCTTCATTCATTCATTCATTCAGGGCTCCATTTCTGTACATTTAACAAATTCACATATTTTACCTAGAAATGGAAGGCATACATATCTTTCCATCAAGTCTAGTTTGAAGAAATTTGACCTTCAACCTTACTGTAATTACCTTAAAATTCTAATATAAAAAATAGTTCCTTTTTGACCTTGTGCTTCAGTGGGAATAAATGCCATGAAGATCTATTGCCATCCAAAATAAAAAAAAACAACTATTAAACCAACTATAAACAACAACTGACGAACCCTAACATATGGGATGAACATGGAGGTGCATGTAGGTGCTGAAGCTGGGCTGTGGGACTTATCAAATCTCTCAACCCTTTGCATGTCAGAAATCACTTTCCGTCCTTAACGCTGCAGCATTGCAACTGTGCAGTTACTTGTTCTGGCCCACAGGTGGCGCCAAAATGCTACTATAGACTTTAGTGATGTGAAATGCGCCTGCAATCTGACAGCCCACAGAAACATTTTTGGCTTTACAGTTAAAATTTGGCATATGTTAGGCCTCACTCCTTACCATGTTCGTGCTAAAGATTCAGGTAAAAAGCCCATTTTGATATCTTAAAATGAGCAGTTGGAATAGAAATATAAACCAAGGCATAGTGTATAAGTGATGACAGGTTCGATTTGGCCATAGCGTTGTCCATTTCAATTAATCCAAGGTGCAAATAAGGGGTTCACTGATTTGTATGTTACTGTTGACAGTCCATTTACAACAACATTTGCTTTGGTCAGAGTCTAAATGTGAAAACAAATTCAGAGGATGTTGGTATTTTGTGTTGCTCTGTTATTAGGTTACATTTTGAAAGGTGATTATTCAAACTATTTGAATCCTAAAACATGGACATAAACATTGTGTCAGAATATAGTCCTCACAGGCCTCAGCATTGCAGAGTTTAACCACTGAATCTCGGTAAACACACTTCCATCTACTCACCAGCTAATGAGGACGGCTTCATGACTTAGAAAGGGGTTTTGTGTCCAAAACCACATGCTATGCCATAAGTGTTATAAAAATGGTTGTACTACTGATGGTGATTTACTATTTTGACTTACTATTAGAAGGTTGGACATGGCTAGAAAATAAATAACACTAATCTCTGCAGGGGTGTGGCCCTTCAGGACCTGTGTGTTGACACTCAGATGAAAAGAACCAATTCAAAAAAATGATTTATTTGAGTTGATATTGCTAGCACATACATTTATTATGGGTGTTGCAGTGTCTCCAGTCAGTATCATTCAGTTGCCTTTATCTATTATAACAGCCCCAACACAAACTCACTGGCCACTTTATTAGGTGTACCTACCTTGTATCTATACTCAGTGTCCATTTTATTAGCTCTTTTCTGCTTACCGTATAGGTATACTTTGTAAGTCTACAATTACAGACTGTAGCCCACCTGTTTCCATCCCCCCTTGTACTCCTCAGCACTGCAGTGACACTGACTTGTTAGTGATATGGTAGCGAGTGTGTGTGCTGCACAGGGTGGATCACACACAGCACTGCTACTAGAGGTTTTGAAAATTCTGTCACTCTTGGACTGAGAATGGTCCACCAACCATAAATATCCAGCCAACAGTGTCCTGTGACCACTGATGAAGGACTGTTGGATGACCAACACAAACTGTGCAGCAACAGATGAGCTATCGTCTCTGACTTTACATCTACAAGGTGGACCAACAAGGTAGGAGTGTCTAATAGAGTGGACAGTGAGTGGACACAGTGTTTAAAAACTCCAGCAGCACTGCTGTGTCTGATCCACTGATCCACTCATACCAGTGTAATGCCACCCAAATAATACCTGCTCTGTGGTGGTCCTGACCACTGAAGAACAGGATAAAAGGGGGCTAACAGTTTATACAGAGCAGTGGCCACCAACCCTGGTCCGGGAGATCTCCCTTCCTGTAGAGTCTAGGTCCAACTGCAATGTGCCACACCTGCTCCAGCTAATTACCTTCCAGAAGTCCTTGATTGGTTGGATCAGATGCATCAGCGTTAGGTGAGGGAAGGGGCAGCATGTTAGATGCAAGTTGGAACCACACTTTGCCGTAAGGTAGATTTCCAGGACGAGGGTTGGTGACCACTGGTTATAGAGAAACAGACGGACTACAATTTTAACTACAGGGTGAACCTATATGATACGTGGAGCTGATAAGATGGCAGTGAGTGTGGAGCAGGAGTGCCCAGTCTAGAGCACACTTGTTTAATGAACTGGCCTCAGTCGTCAAACAACTGACCACATGTGCTCCTACCTTGGTGAAAGAAACACGGATAAGATTAGATACCAGGTACATGTGCCTAATAAAGTGTCCAGTGAATAAGTGCACACTGCTGCCTGTACCTGTTCTTCCACTATCGCGGTGTGGTCGCTAGAGGGCGCCCGTGTGTCCTCCTCTCACACCCGTCCTGCCTCAGTGTGTGTATGGCTTTGGACGAGCGCAGCTCACACTCCAGCACCTGGCACAGGCGGACGCAGCATCCAGCTCACTGCAACCAACCTGCACTTTCACTCCATTCATTTCTCCACGCTGAGCTCCTCCTCACACCATCCACCCCGCAGCCATCCTCCCCTTCATCAGCACGGCTGCGAGGTGAAGCGGCTGATTTCACTCCTCTGTGGTGACCGCGGCGAGGAGGAAGCGTGATGATGCCTGGAGACGGTTTTTGACGGATCACCTCTCGTTTCCTCGAAGTAGGTGACGTATCTGCGTGCGGTTCCTCGGCCGTTTCTATCCTCTGCACTTGCTTGAAAGGACTGCGCAAACCTTCGGCGCGGTGAGGGAAAACAGAGGAGAAGCGCAGAGGACGCGTTTTCCACCGTTTATGCCCGTTAAAGGCAGATCCCTCAGGGATGGTATCTGCCTTCTGTCAGCCTGCAGCCAGTTCGTCTTTATGTCCTCCGTGTCGAGGAGAACCGGGGGCTAAAAACTGAAAGCTTGTCTCCGTCCACTCGCCTCTCACTTATACCGAAGTTTGGAGTGTTTTTTCCCTCTTTTTCTCGTCGCAGTCATGCCTGTGGCGTCTGTGCCCAGGGCTCGCTCTCTGAGCCCCGTGTCTCTGGCCCGCAGCCTCTCCCGTCTGAGGGAGTTCAGGACGCGGACTCGGATCATGCTCTCTCTCGGCGTCGCTCAGATGGTCCTGGGCAGCCTCATACTGGCCGTGAGCTTCGCCGCCTTAGCCCTCACTACCTCCCCCAGAGTCCGGCACTCCTGCCCCTTCTGGGCTGGCTTCTCGGTGAGTTCCTCTCGTTTATTATTACCCGCTCTAAGGTGTGCGCGCGCGGGGGGGAGGGGGGTCTGTTTTTGCCTTCTTCTCTCTTCATGAATGAGCGCTTTGCCCTTTCCCTGCTTTCTCCGCCTGAGGCTTTCTGCAGACTCAGCAGCTCTGAGCGAGCGAGCGCACGTGCTGTTGTGGAGTTCGCGCCTTCTGACAGTCTAAATTAGCATTAGCACACTTATCCATATCTGCTAGCCTCGTTTTTCGTCTTAAACTTTTTTTCTGTTGCATACATCTTTTTAAATTATTTTATTGACTAAAATATAGTGTTTGTCGTTCCTGCTGGTGTGTTGCTGACAAAAATTGTTCAGTGGAATTCTATAGAATAACCACTTATGGGACCCTAAAACCTTTTCAATGAATGGTTCGTTTAAATTGAGATACATGAATATCCTTTTAAAGTTTAAAGAACCTCTACATATTGTAAATTCTAGTAAGTGGTAAGTAGTAAGGTCTTCTGGTAAGACCTTCTACACAATATGAAGGTTCTAGGAAGAATCCCTAAATTGGCGTATTACCTTTTGCATTACTTTAAACCAGGGCTCAACAACATGCGCCTCTGGAGCCACATGCAGTTCTTTTACTGCCTTGTTGTGGCTCCACAGCAGAATTATATCTTTAGATAAAAATAAAATAATCCTTCTTTGCAGTAAAATAAAGCTCTGCTGATCGTTTTAACACAGTTTTAACAATAAATGATCTTAAATGCTGAAGTTAATGTGTAACTGCTAATTCACCAACCTTTAACCCTGAAGGTTAGCATGCAGACTGTTGGTCCCACAGCAGCACAGACAACAATCTCGCCTAGCTAGCAGCTAACGAAAAGGTAAAGAGAAAGATTTAAGAGAAACATCAATATTTTGGAGACGAATGGACTTGGATATTGCATTTTTTAGCACTTCAGCTAGTTTCCTGACATATTTAATCTGCAACAAGAACCTGTCAAACACTAAAAAGCTGCAAAGCTGAAGTCAGCTCCTCGTTCGAATTCTCCTGGTTCACCTTAAATGGTGCAGCAGTTACATTAATTTAAGATGGAATGGGAAAGTTCAATAAAGAAGCTGGCGAATGAGAAGCTGACTTCAGCCTCGTAAAAAACGCTGAGGCACATTTTTACAAGAAACTATTCCACTTTTGCGAAAAAGTTCCTGCAAGATGCGAGAAAAGTGGCTATAGCTGAGCTAAAGCTTAAAGCAAAGTCTGGATTTTCGTTTATTATATTTTTTTTAGCATATACTAGTACATTAGCACATACTGAGCCACATTCATAGACAAAATGGTAAAATGGACGTATAATGTTGTGGCTCCCAAGGTGGTTTGATTTTTGTTGAAAGGACAACCTGACTCTTCGTAACATTTGGGTTGCTGATGCCTGCTTTAAACCTTTCAAAGGTTATTCACACTTACAGATCTCTTTTTAAAGTGAAACTAGAAGTGTTTCCCTGTGGCTGAGCCTTTTATGGCAGTGTATTGGAAGGCCCATTACATTATCCTACATAAGAACACTGATATGTTCTGTTCTTATAGGCCACTTGGTTAGAACATTTATTTATGACCTGACAGATCCTGGGTTTGAGACTACCCGTGGTGTAGTCACTTTTTCTAGTGCCATGACCCAGATCAACATCTGTTACGTCCAGGGGGTTGTTGTAATGGAAAAGGAAAGTAAAAGGCAGGGGGTAGTGGAGTTGTGTAAAGGTGATTTGAAGGCCGTTGCAATGGAGCCCCTCACTTGTGTTCAGATGATGTATAGATGATTGTACTCTGTCTTTAAAGTATTACTTCTTTTTTGGGTAGGTAAGGGTTTGGTCCCACTCTGGGTTGTTTTCTATCACACAGCCAACTGATGGAGCTCTTTTTACTGTATTTCTGATTCATCTGTTCGGAGCCTTGTACAGCAGCTGAACAATTATCAGGTATAAACTAGAAAACATTGTTTATGTTTACCCTTCTCGACTGTCTCACTGCATTTAGGAGACGAGTGTCGTTGGCTGCCTGCCTGTGCGGCATCTGGGCTGTCATCCTGCTTTTGGCACACTGCGCGCTGAGAGGGAGTCAGTGTCGTGGAGGGGCGAGGGGTCCCAGAGCAGCCGCTAGGCTCTGCAAGGATAAAACTGCTATTGGCACCGACTAAGTCTCAGCGTGGCTCAACCAAATCTAATATGATTTGAGGCCCTACTCCATGTGGCCTTATCGATGCCTGAGCTCCAGCACTTAGAGGCTCAAGCCGCTTTCTACCTCCCTCAGCTATTTTCCCCACTCTTATCTGTCGTTCTCTCTTTTTCACCGCACATTACCGCGCACTGCTTCTCGGTTCACTTTTTCATATGGAACGTGTCCTTGTAGTGCCAATCTTTCAACTCTCTTGACTGTTACAAACAGCCGTGATTTTGTAATGGAAGACTGAATGTCTTCATATCCTGACAATGGGAAATGGTTTTTCTCCACTTGTACATAGCTGTAAAATGCAAATATGAAACAACTAACGTATGCGTTTGAAATGTTGACTCACCAATGTTCTCATTCCATGCTGAACTTTTTGAACCCACAGTGGCAACCTGCCAGCATGTTGTCTCTTATCATTGCATTTAAACTTCAATGATTAATTCAGTCGTTTAGCGATTTTAGACAGCAAAGTGTCAACCCTACCACGCGGTCATTAACTCCGACATAAGAGACTGGAGACTGCATGTCCAAAAGTTTACAGACGCCTGTTTGTCCGAAATTTCTTCTGAAATCAGGGGTTGTAATTAGGAGTTTGTCTTACTTTTACTGCAGTAACAGCCTCTGTTCTTCTGGGAAGACGTTACACTAGATGTTGGAACATTGCTGTGAGAATCTGATTGCATTTTTGAAGAATATACAGTAGCCTAACTAAATTGTTATTACTTTTCTTACATTTGTGCAAAGATTCTCATGGTCATATAAAAGGAGTCTATAAAAATTGTAAAAATTGTTGTCGCTGTCATGCAAAAACTTGTATCTCTGAACAGTAAGAGAAAGAAAAAAAGTTACTTCTTAATTCTGAACCATTTTTATTGATCTAGTCGTCGTGAAAGGTTCATACAACGTAAAGGACAGATAGCAATATCAAATGATAAAAAATGGAGATATAAAGTTTTCTCATGTGACCTTTCTTGTGTCTCAATAAATGAAAGTGATGCTGAATCTTTCCACATAGCTATTGTTTATCCTTTATGCACCAACACCCTCCTCTGTCCCAGAAAGCTGTGAGAGTGACACTAAAATTTATCTGTAGGGTTCGATGTAAAGAGCTGTGGTGCGTTAACTGCATTTTTGGGGCTTTAAAATTTCATGATGGTGACAGTAAATATTTATGAGGCAACACATCCATGATTTTCTGCCAGAGATGGGTGGGGCCTAGCATCAATTGCATATGGATGGGGGAAAAAAGGAGGGATGCAAGGGCAGGTCCATGGGGGAGATGGGATGGTTGTGCTTGTGTCTGTATATGTGAAGATAAACAGCCTGGAGGTCGGAGGTGAAAAAGCAAGTCTTGTGGCTCACTAATCAGTGTACGGCTGGAACGCTCCTGATAACACCACTTGTCCCTCGGAGAAAGCCCACTGCTTCACTTATCTGTGTGATTTGATATTACATGTGTTTTATAGATTGTCATGCAAAGCTTGGTTCATGGGGAATGGATGGTTCCTTTTGTGCAGAAGGAAAATAGAGGCAGGATTATAGTTCCATGTGGCTTTGTAATGACTCGTTTTGTTTGCCTGCATTGTGCAGATCAGCGCCTGTGCAAATGATGAGTGCTTTAAAAGAGATGATGCCTTGAATTTGCTTGATTCAAATGTGTGCATCATCTCCATATGAATTAAATATATTACATCACCCAAGTTTGGTCTTTCAGTTGACTTAATTTTGCCAATAACTGATGTGATATATTTGATGTAATGTGGATGTTTCGTATGTTTTAGTAATATGGAAGGAAAGGAAGGACACAGTGCATACTTTAAAGCATACAATATCAACAGAAGGTATTAGTTGTGGCTGGTTTGCATAAGTAGCCCTGAGGTCGCTTCACTGGTACAATGAACTGGTGACCACAGAAGTCCTTTGGGAGTGCGTACACCCAAAGCACAGTAGGAGTGTGTGTATGTATGTGTGGGAGGAGGAGGGGGGGCGGTGGTGGGTTGTTAGGGGTGTGCTTCTAGAATGTAGTTTCATTTCACTCCATCATTGATACTTAATTCACTGACTGACTAGCACATTCATTCACTTTTATCTCACATGCTCATATGTGTGAATTAACATTAGTGAAATGTGCTCCTCACTCCCCTTTGTTGATGCACAGTGTGTGTGAGACGAGGTAGTTCCTCTGAGCATTATACTGGAGCTGAGGGCTTTCCTCCCTCCCGCTGGAGCTCCACTCCACTGCTCAGAGCCTGAGGCTGCAGGCCAGATCCATACTCAAAGAGCTGCTAGCCTACAACAAACACATGCTACTGAGCCACCACCAACCATGCCCTCGGAATATGAACAGAAAGAGGAGACAGGTGGAATTTAAAGGAAGGGAATTTAAGGCAACGAAAGGGATAAGAGAAGGACATAATGCAGCAGAGAGGAAATGAAAGCAAAGGAAAACCATTGATCACTATATAACTCAAAGGAAAGGAAAAAGGGCGCATAGGGAATGGGAAGGAATGGACACAAAGGAAAAGGAATGCAAAGGATCATAATGCAACCCAAAGGAAGGACATAAAGGGAAGAAAAAGGAAAGACCACAAAGGGAAAGAAAAGGAGCCTAACTCCCAGAAAAGGAAGTAAAGGAAAGAACCATAACAACTGACAGGAAGTGAAAGGAAATGAGCGTAACAATTGGCAGGAAAGGAAAGGAAATGAGCATGACGACTGACAGGAAAGGAAAGGAAGGGAAAGGAAAGGAGCATAATAACTGACAGGAAAGGAAGGGAAAGGAAACAAGCATA